TAAATATTAAATTGCAAATATTTTAAATACTCGAAATAGTTCTAATATTACTAATATTTATAAACTTTTCCTAAATTCAAATATTTTTATATAATATAAAAAAAATACTAGTTAATCTAGTAATTAAAATAAGTTATATAAGCTTATAATAATAAATAGAAAATCTTATATACTAGCTTTACTATATAATAATATTACCTTTTATTTAATTTCTATAAAGCTCTTTTATATAAGGGATATTAAAGTTATTACTAATAATTCTAAACCTGAATCTATTTCTAAATTCTATAATAAATATAACGGCAGGAATAAAGCAATGGAACGATGCTCAAAGATTAATAATTTCCAATGTCCTACAGAATCTAAAGCTAAGGAGAGAAGGAGTAAGGTGTGGCAGTGGATAAGTAGGTATAGCCAAGACCACTGAAACACCGAGCTTTGGAAGCGAGCTTGGTTTGAACCATAGCTTGGAACCTTAGCTGAAACCAACCCCTTTAGCTGAAACTATGTCTGTATTAACCATATAACACTAGCCGTTACATTACCCCCCCCTCCAAAAAAGCTCGACCCCGAGTACCAGGATATCAAGAGAGTACAGAAGAACAAAGGAAAGGCTAAAGCGAGTATAATAAATCGACAGAATAAAGGAAAAGGACCCTATTTCCAATCGCCAGCCGCAAAATCAGCCCTCTATATACGGTTAAAAGCCGGATCCAAGGTTGGCCCTCCTCCAGAATCGCCAGAATCGCTAGAATCATTATAATGGTCAATTGCGGCAGTCGTAACCCATTTGCAACCAGAACCAGAGGAAGCAGTACTTACAGGAGCCAAGCTATAATTCTTAATAAAGTAATCCTGGGAGCCGTATCTGATACATCTGCCGGTTTGACGATAATACTGGCAGAGCTCCTTTGAGGTGGAACGAGCTGGCATAGCTAGTAAGATTGGCTCAGAGAATAACGTAAGGGCACTAATTGCCGGTGTAACGACGTTAATTGTCAGTTCGCTAACGTCTATAGGGTCACTGGCAATTCTGGGAGCAGTAACGTACGGCGGAGCGGCTGTTTTTGACGAGAGCTGCTAAACCGTACGCAGGAAATCGGCGTAAACCCTGGGTAGAACAAGCTGCTGAGCCAGACGAGAGCGAATTGCGGAATTGAGGCCATTGCGAAAGCTGGAAATTTTATTGACATCTGGCTAGCTTTGGCCATTTGCTTCGTACAGGGTTCGTTCAAACTTGGCAATATAGGCAGGAAGGGAATCGTTGCCTTGGCGGAGGGCATGGAGCTTGTCTTCAGCCTCCGATTGCTTGTTTGGATTGTCGTATACCCGTGAAAGCTGATCCAGGATCGTTTGGTAGTCCCACAATTGAGTATACTCTGTATAGGAGAGCTGTAGCAGAACCATTAATTGGACAGAAGACTCCAGATTGAGGTAAACGTAGTAAAACTGGGCAGTAGAGTCCCCAATTGCCGATCCATCGACAGAGAGCTTGGCCTTGATTAACGGGAGCCAGGTATCGAATCTGTACGTACTTCCAGCGAACTTCTCAGGGTCAGGGAGCTTCGACTTTTGACTGGATTTCGCCGTAGAGGCAGTTAACTGGGCTTGGGTACTAGCGAGGGCAGCTCGCAAGGTAGTGATTTCAGCCCGTAAACCATCGAACTCGCATTGAACTTGCGTTTGGAAGGTATCCATTCTCAAGGGAGTATCGGTAAAGAGGTAAAAAATCAATAAGGTAGTAAGCCAGGGGCTCTAATAAATAATAAGGGGTTAAGCTGGCCAAAATCGAGCTTTTTGATACCTCGTAGGTAGAACTGTAGACAGCGCCACGTAATAATGACAATAATAATAAGGGGGCTCCGCATGAAAGCGGGCTAGTGGACAGGAGTCCCAATAATAATGACAATAACTACCGTCCGAAAGGTAGGAGCTTTAGATCATGTAACGGCAGGAACAAAGCAATAGAACGATACTCAAAGATTAATGATTTCCAATATCCTATAGAATCTAAAGCTAAGGAGAGAAGGAGTGAGGTGTGGCAGTGGATAAGTAGGTATGGCCAAGACCACTGAAACGCCGAGCTTTGGAAGCGAGCTTGGTTTGAATCATAGCTTGGAACCTTAGCTAAAACCAACCCCTTTAGCTGAAACTACGTCTGTATTAACCATGTAATACTAGCCGTTATAATAAAGCCAAAAATAATACAAGTAGAATTCTTTCTATTATTCCTGCTATTTTATTAAAATATAATAGAAAATACTCTTATAAGAACCCTAATATTATAGTATTTCTATAGAATAATAATTTATATAAGAATTCCTATTAAGTTAAAATTACTAGCCTTTTAGAAAAGAATATATTTGAGATTACTTCCAGATTTTAAGTATTAGAAAAAATTTTAATTTTTAATTTTTAATTTATTAATAAAATTAAAAATAAGAATATAGAAAGAGAACTTAAGAAATCGAGACTAGTTTTTTAAGCTTATAATAATAGTAAAAAATATATAATATTAATATAATTACTAATTATCTAATATATTAGCTAAAGAGCTATTCTCTATATTATTATTATAATTATAGGAACTATAAAGTTATATTTATAAAATATATTATAAGTTTATATATCTAACTAATAACCTTATTTAATTATAATTTCTATATTAACTTATTTTATAGGCTTATTAAATAGCTAAATCTAAATAATAATTCGGTTCTAAAAGTTATAAAACTATTATATAATATACTAGAAGCTAGAAATTATTAGTTTAAGACTTATTATTCCTATTATATTAATAAGCTCTTTATAAAATAGTTAACTTATAGCTCTTGCCTTCTTTATAATAAGTAACTATTCGGAATTATTAGCCTTTAAACTAATAATACCTTATTTATTAGAAATAACAATTTTATAAAGATAAAGTAACTAAAGCTTTATAAGACTAAATTCTTGACTAAGAAATATAAATGCTTTACTTTTAATTATAATTTCAAATTTAATAGAAGTATTATTTATACGGAAATTACTAGAATTATCTTTATATAGGAATACTAGTATAAAAACCTCTGAACTATATTAATTAAGAATATTACTATTATAAGTAATAAGGGCATTATATATTAAGATCTCTTTATTAAGAATTAATATATTATATTAATCTATTAACTAGAAGTTTTATATAATTTATTAATTACTATTTAAGCTATTAAATCTTTGGAAACTAATATTAAAATACTTAATAAGTATATTTAATAGTAAATTAAAAATACTACTAGAGAATTAAGATTTATAAAGCTAGTAAAGAAGTTCTTATATTTAATTATTTTTATAAATATTTTATTTATAAATAATTAAGATCTCTTTTCCTAAATCGGATACATTTTAGTTCTAGTAAATAAAACTAGATATACTAATATTATCTACTAGTTCTCTACTAAATATAAGAGAGTTACTAGAAGTATTCTAGTTTTAGAACTATATAGTATAACTTATAGTTTTAATATAAGTATTTCTATTAAATTAATAATTAATAAAGTATTAGAAATAGAACTTCTATTAGTTATTTATCTGAATTCGAAGTTATTATATAAATGCCTTATTAAATTAGATACTACTTGAAAGAAATACCTAATAATTAATATAATATACCTCTATTAGATATATAAATAATAAGAGATTATAGAAGTCAAATGAATTAAGAGAGAATTAAATTCTACTCATTCTATAATAAAATTAAAGTTATTAAATGCCCTCAAGTAACTAATTAATATAAATATAATATAATTAGATATAGAGAAATGAGTCGAATGCAAATAGGACAGGAAATAGATATATGGGATAGAGAGAAATAGGTATATAGGATAGAAGAATATTATAGAAAGGGAAGTTATATATAACTAAAACCTCAAAAATAATATAGATATATAGAATGTTTGGGAAGTCTGGTACTAGGCCAGATTAGGAAATTAGTATATAATCGGAAGAGAATACTATTTTTCGCGTTTTTAGAGAGGTTTCAGTATTGGTATAGCTATGATTGTTAATAGTCATGTAATGCAGTCATGTAACGTGAAGGTAACCAGAGGCAATAGGACATGGGCAACGGGTAATGATTATGTGGCCTTGCGTTATATGGGTGACTCGACCGGTAGCTAGTCCCCATTAGGCTTAGTAGATTTAGGGATCATATATTAATACCACGATACTGCAATCCTTACTTCTGAATATTAACAACTTTACTAACTTTACGCAAATAGCATTCCACGATTACGTAATGGTACTATGCATTCCTGGTAAACCGACAAATATATTACTAATAAAATTATTTATAATTTATAAGTAATTTTTATTTATTTAATATTAATTTAATAATAATAATAATAATAATAATAATAATAATAATAATAATAATAATAATAATAATAATAATAATAATAATAATAATAATAATAATAATAATAATAATAATAATAATAATAATAATATAATAAAGAAAACTATTTCATTTTTAAGTTTATTTTAAAAAATTATATTATTTCTTATTTCTTATTTCTTATTTCTTATTTCTTATTTCTTATTTCTTATTTCTTATTTCTTATTTCTTATTTCTTATTTCTTATTTCTTATTTCTTATTTCTTATTTCTTATTTCTTATTTCTTATTTCTTATTTCTTATTTCTTATTTCTTATTTCTTATTTCTTATTTCTTATTTCTTATTTCTTATTTCTTATTTCTTATTTCTTATTTCTTATTTCTTATTTCTTATTTCTTATTTCTTATCTTTTATATAGTCATCTTTTGCAACTATTAGCACTTGAGCGTGCCTCAACACCTGCCTCAACTCTTGACCGCGCAGTTCTGGGAGGGTCCAACTTCAAGGCCAACTTTTTCCATCTCCTTCATACTTTTCTGTCAAGGACTCCGTCTCTATCACAGTCCAATCTCCGCTTCCACTTCCCGCTCTTATTCCTTCTCGTTCCGTGCCTCATCTGCAACCATGGCTTCATCTCAAGGCATAATCGACCTTACCAATGACCCAGACAATGGCAAAGACGACGTTCTCCTCTCGATTTACGACGTTCTCTCTGAAGTAAACAGCGTCTTCTCCGCCACCGCCGGCCCGAAGTCAAATTTCAATGATGTGGCTGAGCTGAAAAAAAGCACTCATCAGACTACTCAACTACATTTACTCCATGAAGGATGGAGATGCAGCTTGCGTTTCTGCCCCGATATCTCCTGCTGCTCTACGATTCGATCAGGCGAGAATGCTGGAAGAGGTGGAGGAGGATGTTACTAGTATGAGAGGATACTTGCGAGGCTTAGATAAGAGTTATCATGTAAGTATACCCGTTTATTTGATCTCTATTTTTGATTATTCCACAACTCCTAGGACATTCGATTCTTCTCCTGTGCCAATGTACAGCAATGGTTGGAACAACAAGGATGTATGGTAGTGCTGACGGTGATGGTAGAGGTCCAATATGTCCGCAGCTTACGAAATTGAGTCAAGGACGTCTTGAAAGCTGCCGCTATTACTAAGTCCAAAGCATCGTCCCCTCAATCGGCCATGCCCAACAAGGGCAGTGGGACTTGCACGAAACATAGCACCAAGAAGAGACTACTCCTCTTCCGCAACAGTCCCTATCGAGTTCCGTATCGACCGCCACCATGGAACACCAAACCCAAGTCCAAATTCATGTTCTTTAACGACGACGAGGAGAGATACTATTACGAAGGAATCCCGGTCCCTGGCGCTGACGTGGTTCCACTGACGAACGAGCAACGTGCCCTGGTGAAGTACCTTCACGGACTTGGAGGATCAAGAACCTCTGTCTCGGAAGTCCGGTAACTTGAAGTCGAGAATACGCATACTGCAATCATCTCAGTCCCTGAGCCCAAGACTGGCGATAACAACAAACCGAACGTGCGGAAGATTGCTCCCATGAAGAAACTAGTCTCCAGGAAGGCGTGAGGCCCCACCCTCCTTACTACGCTAGCACGACCAATTCTGAACGAGTCCAGCGTCTGCGGAAGGGAGACAAAAAGATGCGTGTGAGGGAAGATGTCCGGTTCCCCGACGTTCCCCTACTCTCCCATTATCCTCGTAGCGCTCTCGATACCCAGCAGAGCTATGTCTACATCCTGGACGTGCCTGAACAGTCATCTGCCCCTTTGAAGGAGCAGACGGCAGTGAGGTTATACTGTGCTGAGAAAGTTGTTGATCGAGAAATCGATGCTTTTCAAGGGTGTTCTAGAAGACAAGCGGAGTGGAAAACTGGATGATCCGAATGATGAGATTGTTTATGATCCTTTCGTGACGTAGAAACGGAAGGCAGTGAAGCTTCTGTACAATGATAAGATTGTGTAAGTTGATTTTGCCTTTAAATGTTCGGAAAAAATTCGGACATTCGAGCTAATTGGAATTTTCATCAGGTACTTGCAAAGATTGCTGCAGCATCTGGCTGAACAAGGCAACGCAGTTGCAGCCAACGCACTTACATGGCCAGTACTGAAACCTTGGGTAGCCTTGCAAACCTGGTTCTGCTACACATAATAGAAGAGGAGGCGTGCATTAAGATGTCAGACAGTCAGACTGGTGGCATGATAAGCAAAGAGCCATCAGACTTGCACCGCTTCTGAGGACAGGGGAGAAGTACTTGGACGATTTGAAGAAGTTTGAGGTCACGCCAGCGAAATTCCCCGATGATGAGGCACACGAGAGGGAGGTCCGAAGGTATAGACGGGGACATCTGTATAAGAAAATAGGAAGATAGAATCGGATGCTGGAAGAAAACGGCCTTATTTCAATACATAAGACCCAGCAGAGCTCGCACTAGTCTACAGCCTCGGACCAGCCAGTCAGCCTCGCAAGAAGGCTGTCTATTTATTTACACCGTCGCGCTTTCCACAACTCAAATTCCTTCAACACATGCTATGAAGTCACGTACTTCAACGCGCAACATGGCGTCACATTCCGGTAAGTCATATCATTACAACAAAGCATACATGATTACTGATTATTCAACAGAAGCAATGGAGCTCGACTCCCCCTCCACCCGCACTCCGACTCGCGACGACTTCACCTCCACTTCACTTCAAGATCTCCGAAAGCGCGCCAGAGAAGCCACGAAAGAAGCCACAGAAGCCAGGTGGGACCTCAGCGCACTCAGGACTGAAGCTCGCACAAGCGAAGATGCGCAAGAGCGATACCAAGCTGCCAGGGATAAGTCCAAACACGCCGATGAAGCGCGCAGAAAAGCCAGAAAAGAGGTACGGTTGGCGAAGGCGAAACGCAGCCGTTCTGGCGCAAAGTCGGGAGTCAACAAGTCCTATACCTATACCACCAGCAGGACGTTCTCCAACAACGGCATCAAGAAGAAAACCAAGGAGCCGAAGCCGAAGCCGAAGCCACTCCCAAAGCCGCCGCTGCGTGCACAGATTGAGAGCAGGACAGGAACTGGAGTTTGGGTCTGGTCTGTCACGGAGGGCAATAGAGAGCTGAGAGACGATGAGATGCAGATGATGCATGGCATGCAAGACTTAAAACTTCTCCTTCCTCCTCCGCAGATGCTGGAAGCCGAAGAAGAGAATAAACCCAAGAGAAAGCAGAGACCGACAAAGGCAGAGAGGAAGGAGATGGCTTTACTTGCTGCGGCTGAAGAGTTGGTTGCCAAGGTCCGCGTTGAAGTTGAGGGCCAGAGAGAGTTGATTGTCCATGGTGAGAGCAAGAGGGAGCAGCGTAAACAGCGGGTCGAGAGCGATAGGCAGAAGCGTAAGCAGCGACTAGAAGAGAGAAATACTCGGCTGGGAATGGAGCTTGATCTTGAGTTGAAGGCGTTGGAGGATGAGCGGCGGGGAGAGTTTCAGGAGAGACTTGATAGGAATGGAGAGATCAAGGACGAGGCGTCTCGAGAGCGTAGGAGAAAGGTGATTATGCAGGCCTTGACGGAGAGAGAAGATGCTGAGGTTGATGATGTTGCCGCCAAGTTGGGTCTGCTTGGGATGGGAAGTAAGCATAGTCAGTAAGGAGTTGGTCTTTGGGATAGCGTCGTTGTTTGGCAGATTGCGGATGATGTGGGGAGCTGCTGCCAGTTGCGACTCTCCTCTCCCAGCTGCTTCTTGAGCTGCCCGAACCCAAAGCAGATACTTCGAGAAATGGTCATTGTTGTTGGATGCCTCTGTACTACTCTCCAATACAACATAGCGTTCTTTTACATGAAACATTTCAGACTCTCTTGAAGTAAATGTGAAGTGACGTTGAAAATAAGAGAAGAGAATCACAGAACCAAGAGCGGAAACTCGGATTTGTTTACACCGGCATTAAAGAGGGGTAAGGAACACCAGGGGTTCAGAATTCTTCTCGCACGAGCTTTCCATCTTTCAAACACCAACCACAAGCAGGAAGGCACCAACGCCGCAACCATGGCACCTGCAGAAGGAGATGGTAACTAAGGCTTCTCATCGCTATACGCACATCTACTGATGTTAAGAAGCCAACCACCGCGAATGGGAGGGAGTCAGTGCAGATCGACGTGAAGCTATATTGCGATTCGGAAGCGACGCCGAGCAGAACAGAGCACACGGCTCCAAAAGTGCGGCTCGAGAATCTTCAGCAAGTCCTGGCCGGCTCACGGGTCAACAACTCCATCCTGGAACGAAGCAACGGACTGAACGTCTTGCAGAGCAAGGCTGGGTTGAAAAGCGAGGCATCCGAAGACAAGGAATAACCACAAGCTGGAGCATCAAGAGAATCGACACCGACGCGCCTCCAAAGGTTCCAAAGCCGGTGACTTCAGAACCACAAATTCGCCTTCGGCAGCCAACCCCAAGCAAGAGCAATACTGAAGCCGCCAAATTCTTGAGCAAGTATGGTGGGCGTGCTCTGAATGAGTTGGATGGCGACAGGTATATTAATGGTCTTTCGATTGAGGAACATAATCAAGCGATGGCAGAGCTGGCGAGGAAGAACGATAAGGACACGCGTTTTCAAGATCGGTTTGAGCGGATGTTGGCTAAGCACGAGGGTAGGAAGGTTCCAGCTGATAGCGGCAATATGGATCATGAAGGTGGTAACTACGATGCTGATACGAGCAATGTCTCGGAAATGGGAATTGAGCACGAGTGGTCAAGAGATGAAACTATTGCAGATGTGGCTGCTGAGAAGTACAACTTCAATTTCCTTGACGAGCGATTTGCGAAGGAGCAAGTGGAGCATAATCAAAAGAGGGTCCTGGCTGAAGCGAGCAGGTTCTATTCTGAAGGCAGCAACAACAACGCTGATATGAGCAGCTTCGGGGCAGCACCGAGAAGACATAGGTCCAGCGAGACCAAGAGTCAGAGATTGGCACAGCAAGAAGACAAAGGACAGAAGCAGAATCTCAGAGAATGGAAGAAGGAGACTGTCTACGACGACCAGGGCAATGCGATTCCTCGATGGGTGAAAATTTTGAAGGATGGAAAGAAGGCCAGGAAACAAGCAAGAGATGAGCGGAGGGAAGTAGAAGCTAAAGGACATATCGAGCGCGACAGATCAGAGATGGCTGTGTTTGAGGTATGGGCGAATGTCCGATTCATGCAACTCAAGACTAACCCCTTGCATCAGGCCAAGGAAATGAGATCCAGAAACGGGGATGTCTCCCATGACGACGATGGCAATCTGATCTCTCGATGGCCGAAGAATCGAATAACCGCAGGCAAGAAAGAGATCAGGCAGCGAGAGGAATTCGAGCAGAGGTTTAACGAAGTACTTGCGAAACACGACGGCAAGAAGAATCAAAACGACGACGGTAGGATGGATTTCGAGATGGGCCACGAGGGAACGAGTGTAGAAGACCGGAACGACTATGGTAGCAAGCGCAAGCGCCAAGACGAGGATGAACTCATGGAATCAATGGGGTATATCCCGGCAAAGACTGGAAGAAAGAGGTAGGTATTGAAGCACGCGAGGAGGGGACCCCCTAATGACTTCTTGATATTAGATCTCGAAATGTTGATCGCGCAGACTTCCCCATCGACCTCGCCATGGAACGCACTCGACTCTCGCCTGGAAGACAACGTGGCCGTGGCCATCTACGACTCTCTGTGGACGAATGGGGCCGACCTTTGCAAGATAGCTACAGACCCGTTTTCTCTCCAGAGAGACGTCCTGTCTATGATAGTATGAAGAGTGAGTTGGACTGGCATCGAAATGACAGGAAGGCTCGAGAGGAAGATAGGAGCCGTCAGTCTCCAGAGCCATCTCCCAGGGGCAGAAGGTAAGCAACAACACTCATTGCATCTGTGAAAGGGGTAACAAATGCTTTTATTTGCAGTGAGAAGCAAGGTGACTTCATCAGCTTTTCGGACCCACTTGGTGACAGCTTCGACAGCCGGCGAGAGGATAGAACCCAAGGCAGGTACTGGAAGGGTTTCGATCAAGATGACAAGAATATCAACACCAGATACAAAGTAATCGAGGATGACTTGAGCGAGTTTAAGAGGAGCAGAAAGTGGGAAGGAGAGTACGGAGGTAGTTCTCGTCGCCGCAGCCCGAGTCCAAGGCAAGTACGATGCCAGCTATCCCTTCTAACGGTGACATGCTAATTCTAGTGTGAAGGCCAAGTCGAGATCTTCCCGAAAGCATACTTTTGTGTGAAGAGAACGATGAGAAAGGTCAATGGTGGGGTACAGAAGATAAATTAAAAAAGCGTGAAAAGGTCAGAGGTAAAAATGGTAAGGTTAGGAGAAATCTGGCGCGCAGGATACTTTGAGCATCATGGCTCTCCAGTGACCAGTTCATAATTGAAGGCTAAAGGAAAACGGATAAGCTATCGTAATAGGTAGTTGCAAGGCCCGGTGGAAGGATTTGTCTAGCAACTGCACACAATTCAGTCAATTGAGACGAGACTTTCCAAGATTTTGCGTGAATAGTCGGCATGGCTGGACTTGCTGTGCGGGTTCCCAACTCTCCACTGGTGAGTCCGCTCGTACAACTTGGCTTTGAATGACTTCACCGGAATCCGAAATGTTAGCATTCCTTGGCCATTGGCGTTTGGGAGAAGTCCGTATTCGTCATCCAAGATACTCCTACAATTCCCCACATACCCCTTACGCCAACAATGCAACCGTTTTATACATCCCTTCCACGCATCCTCTAATTCGCCCGATCAATTCTATTCAGTTTCCGCGCTGTCAAGATCTACCACATGATTAGCATCACTCTGTATCCCACTCCACCTCATATCAAGACATACCTGACTCCTCGTCCTCTGGCCCCTCACCGGCAGCCCCATTGCATGCCGTCTCCCCCGATAACTCCCCATATCACGCAACCGCTGTATATTATCCCTCATCTTGCGCCGCAGGTCCGTCTCGATGGTCATCGTGGAGAGCTCGGCGGTGATGTCGTTTATTGTTTTTGTGGGCAGTTGGCCGACTCTTGCGCCGGGGAAGACGGAGAACTTTGCGAGGATGCGGGTGCTGTGTTTTGTGCCGATGCCGTAGAAGGTTTCGAGGCAGTGCTGGGGGGAGGTTAGTGAGGTAGGAGGTTGGAGTTGGGAGGCGGAAGATCTTCTCGCAGGCTCGCAGGCTCGCAGCGAGTGAGGAAAGGTACCTTTAACAGCCGGTTTTCGAGGAAATTATTTCCTAGGATGAAGACCTGGGCAATTTAGTATGGCTTTGGCGGGGACTGGGGCGCGATTGGCGTACCATTGTGCCGGGGTGAAGCTTGCTGAAGCTCGAATCTCGCGATGTTGTCGAACCCGAAATTCTTGAGGTTGTCGAGATTCAGCACAGACCAGGCTTCACGTGACACAGCAGCTAGGGGACCTGGAATTGTAATCGACACCTATCCGAAACTCGAGCTCTCTAGCCCCGTCCCCCTCTTCTCTCCAAGGTGCTACAAACCTCCAATTCTCCGCAGCACCACATCAACAACCCCAATTCCACCCCAATTGACCACCAAAATGTTCACCCTCCAACGCTTCGTAGTCTCCGTACTACTGATTCTCGCCGTCACTTTCGCCTTCTTCGCCCAAACCGCGCAGGCCGTCAAGGGCCCCAAGATCACCCACAAGGTCTACTTCGACGTCAGCCATGGCGACGAGCCCATGGGCCGCATCGTGATGGGTCTGTATGGCAAGACTGTGCCCAAGACAACCGAGAACTTCAGAGCATTGGCGACTGGCGAGAAGGACTTTGGATATGAGGGGTCTACCTTCCACCGTGTCATCAAGGGATTCATGATCCAGGGTGGAGACTTTACCAAGGGTGATGGCACGGGTGGCAAGTCGAGTATGTATACATCGAACAGAGGGAGAGATTGTACGAGGTGCTAATTGGTGGTAGTCTACGGCGACAAGTTCCCAGATGAGAACTTCAAGCTCAAGCACTCCAAGAAGGGTCTCCTCTCCATGGCCAACGCAGGAAAGGACACCAATGGCTCGCAATTCTTCATCACTACCTCCACCCCAGGGTATGTCCTTTTCCTCATTTCAGTTGAAGGCAGATGCTAATTGTTTACAGTCATCTTGATGGCAAGCACGTCGTGTTCGGCGAAGTTCTCGAGGGCTACGAAATCGTGTCGAAGATTGAGGACGTGCAGAAGACCGGCGACAAGCCCAAGGTCGCCGTCAAGATCACAAAGAGCGGCGAGCTTCCCGTACCAGAAGAAGGTATCCACGTGGAACTATAAAGTACTTTCCTTTTTTCTCTGCTTCAGCACGCATGCAAATCACCTTAGCCTCGCCTCGCCCTGCCTTACTCTTGTCGGTCTCGCTGATCATCTGCTGCACGACAGATGATTTACACGGCACTGCGGAGTATCGACCTGGTCAGAGCGACGCGGCCGAGGTCCCGATCGCTAACACGAGCGCGCCCGCGAAGATCCCCACGATCGTGGAGCCGGTCAGTGATGTCGTTGCTAAGGAGGGCTTCTCGCTGCTGCAGAAGGGATTGTTCTTTATGGTCATACTTGGTTGCGTCGCTGCATATCTGCGGAATGGGGGAGGTAAAAAGGAAAAGAGATTTCAGGAGAAAAGCATGGCGTGAATATTGAAATTTTAGAACATATATTTCTCCGAACTTGTGTTTACCTTGGCTTGCTGCTGCTATATTTACCGCTTTCTTCCCCACACTCTAATATCTCGGGATCTTTACCAGCTGATCTTTGGTCGGCGAGGAAAGGTGGAGATCTGGACAGCTTTCGCCCCCTCGTATTCCGTATTCCGATAAGCTCCCCCTGTTGACCCCAGCATTGCCGCTAGCTACAGTACAACCCCTGTGTCCGCGCCGCAAAACTGTCCTGATCGCAGGTGGGTCCAGCCAACTCCGCCTCCAAGATCGGACGTCGACTTAGCTGAGAGTTTTGAAGCTCTTTTCATTCTCAATGGATATCCATTTCGTCCTTTTCCGGTCCCATTCATTCAGCCCAAGAATCTGCGGAGCGGATGAGACATATGAGCCATCATGACCTCAAAATCGGATGAGAAACCACGAGAAGAAGCTGTGCCACCACTTTCTCGGTCGGAATCTAAGGGAGATGATGAGATGATGAGATCAGAAGCTATCGAAATGGGAGGCATGTCCGATGTCAAGGGGACATCAGTTGATCATGAAAATCAGACGGAATCGGTGCCAACAGAAGAACCACCCAAGAGGACGCATATGAGTGGATGGCGTCTTTACGTCTTGACTTTCGGCCTCTGCCTCAGTCTCCTCCTCTCAACACTCGAAACAACAATCGTCTCTACCTCTCTCGTCTCAATCACGAACGCCCTCTCAGGATTTGAGAATAGGGATTGGGTAGTCACTAGTTATCTGTTGACTTATACCGGTATGGTCGCCTCTTTCATTGTCAAAAAATAAGACTAGAATGGGGACTGACGAGTTGTAGGATTCTTGGTAATCTATGCCAAATTCAGTGACATCTTCGGCATCAAATTTATGATCCTTCTCGCACTGCTAGTCTTCACAGTCTTCAGCATAGCCTGCGGCGCAGCGACGGGGATGACAGAATTGTCCGTCCCCATTCCTCTCTCCATCCTTCCCCCATCTCCACCAACCCCCGAAGCTTCGCACTAACATGTTGAATACAGGATTATCCTGAGAGCATTCCAAGGCGTAGGTGGCAGCGGAATCTACTCCATGGTCGGCGTCGTCGTAACAGCCGTCGTCCCCGCCAAGAAGTTCGGGAAATACATGGCCATCATCTCTTCCGTCATGGCCGTATCCTCTATCCTCGGCCCCCTCCTCGGCGGCGCGATAAACGACAACACGACATGGCGCTGGGTGTTCCTTTTGAATGCGCCGGCCGGCGCTGCTGCCATTGCCGTATTAGTCTTCTTTTTGCCTTCTGACTTCTCAAAGGCGGAGACGAATATTTTTAACCGGCTGAGGAGTAGGTTTACGGGAGAAAACTTTGGGAGGATCGATGTCTGGGGTTGCTTTTTGATGTTAGCCGCTAGTGTCCTTGTTGTTTTCGCGCTCGAGGAGGCGGGGACTAGGTATGCATGGGGCAATGCGGCTATTGTTGGGAGTCTTGTGGTTGCGGGTGTTGCGTGGGGAGCGTTCGTGGGCTGGGAGGTGTGGGTCGAGAAACGGGGAAAGGGAGGCGGGAGACAGGAACCGATTTTTCCTATGAGGTTACTCAAAAGTAGAGTGCTAGCTGGGATGTTGTTGTGAGTCCTCCCTCTCCCCTTCCTTAATTTGACCTTATGTTTGGGAGACAGGGGGTGGTTGCTGATGCGTGGTAGAAACGCCTTCTTCGCAGGTTTCCCCTTCACCTCCCTCGTCGTCAACATCCCACAGCGCTTCCAAGCCGTCAACGGCAGCACACCCACCCGCGCCGGTATCTCGCTCCTACCACTGCTCCTCATGACACCTTTCGCTTCCGGCCTCTCAGGCTATCTCGTCTCGAACCAGAAGCTCCGCGTCCCGCCCCTCTATCTCGTCCTCCTCGGTTCTTGTCTTCAACTCATCGGCGTTGGGCTTGATTCCTCGATCTCCACGGATGTGGAAGCGGGAATACAGAAAGTCCAGTATGCGTATGAAGTCCTTATTGGCCTGGGCTTTGGGTTGGTGTTGAGTAGTCTGTTGACGTTTATTCCGCTGGTGGTTGAGAAGAAAGATATGCCGGTCATGATGGGCGCTGTGACACAAGTTCGCGTGCTTGGAGGTACCATCGGGTTAGCCATCTCAACCGTGGTGCTAAACAGCTATGTGAAGTCCGCATTGTCAGCACAACTTACTGTTGAGCAGATAGCCGGGATTGCAGGAAGTTTGTCCGAGCTAGGGAAACTGAGTAAGGAAGAGCAGCTCTTTGTGAGAAAGACATTCGCGGAGGGGTATAACCGGCAGACGAGGATTACGCTGGTGTTTAGTGCGGTTGTTTTGTTGAGCTGTTTGTTGATGGTGGAGAGGCGGCCGAGGAGGTTGCAAAGGATCAATGAGAGAGGCGAGATTGAGGTTGATGGGAATGTGGGGGCGAGGGGGATAAATAACTCAGAGGCTTGAATTTGTATATCTATCCACCTCAAAGCTTCGAACGTTGAGTGTCTTCATTGTGAAGAAGAGGACAACCTCTCCGTCTCCGTCAACTCAGCCTGCATGACGGTACCGCTCGGCCGCTCGGCCGCAGGCATATATTTGAAGTCATTTGGAAGCCATCCAAACTTGCCCTTCTGACACGTTCCTAATCCCCCACCATTTTTCTCCGTACTCTCCCATTCTACCAATCCCAGCCCATCTCCCTCCTCGAACTCAAAGACCCTAAAATCCGCATTCCCAAACTTCCTCCCGCAGATCCCTACTCTCAAGAACCCATCGTGTGACACAACAGCAATGGCCTTCTCAGGTCTTGCTTTCAACCATTTCCTCGCCACTCTCCCTCTTTCAAGTAAAGATTCGTACGAATACGCATATAATCCTTCCTTCTTCGGCCACACTTCATCTTTCTCCACCTCTGAAAAGTCGACCTGGGGAAACAAAGGGATGAGGTCAGAGACTGTACGTCCGATATCGATGTTATTGTTCGTTGTTTCTTGAAATAATGGGGAAGCGATAATGGGGACGCCGAGGGGGCTGAGGAAGGAGAGAACTGTGGTTGCCGTTTGCAGGGTGCGGGTGAGGGGTGAGGTGACGATGAGGCTGATTTCTTTGGACAGAGGGTGAGCTTGGAGGGCGGCTGAAAGGGTACTGCATTGGGTCGTGCGTCCTAGCTCTGTGAGTGGTGGGTCGTGGAGGGTGAAGTCTCGTTGTGAATGTTAGATGCGGAGGTGTAGGAGTAGGGGTCATGTGACTTATTTTGTACGTCTGTATAAATGAGCTTAGCCTCGGTTCTGGAAAGGGGAAATGGGAGTGGGTTAGGGGATGGGTACTGTGTATCGCTTCAGCGTGTCGGATTAGGATGATTGTTGGTGCCATTTTGACGCTGCGTTCTAGGATGGGTACGGAAGGCTGCTGCAGGATGAAGAGGAGGATAAGGTGCAGCTTCCTGAAAGTCAATATCTTCGATTTCATACATGGGAGCTGGCAAATCTCTGGAGCTCATTCGTAGTGCCTCGAAGTTCGACTCTTTGGCGTGGGTTGTTTCGGTGTTCCTCGGTGTGATTGACGATGAGAGCGCAAGGCGATGAAACCGTAGGTACTGCTAGCAGCAGAAGGTATGAAATATACGCAAAACGAGTAAATCTAATCCCGCCCAATTACCTCTTCTTTCTTGGCGGCTGAACTTCATCCTCGTCCACTTTATGCAAACCCCATCTTCGAACTTTCCAACCAGCCACCACACACATAACTGACGCTTTGTTCGCAGCGGTAATGACTCTCAATCTGTTTTTTGCATATCGTCAGATCCCACAACCACTCACTTCCATCACCCGAGCGAGCAAAACATGGCGCCCTTGAAACTTTACAAACAACTGGGAGACAACGAAATCAGGATTGCGGAGATCAAATCGACTTCTAATGAAGCCGACGACGTCCATTGCCACCTGCTCCATGTTTCACGAGATGAACCAGGAGGCTATCAAGCTCTATCATACGCATGGGGACCTCCTCAGGAGCGGGGTATAGGTCAGATCTACCTCGAAGGAACGCCTCATGCTGTAACCAGAACGATGGAGATAGCTCTTCGGAAGCTTCGTCGGAAAGACGGCCAACCCCCCTTGATGATTTGGATCGATGCCCTTTGCATCAACCAAGAGGACGACGACGAGAAGTGCGAGCAGGTGGAAAAGATGAGGACCATCTACCAACAAGCAACAGAAGTTTCAATCTGGCTTGGCCCAGAAGATTGGTCCATACAGAGCAGCCTTGCTTGGCAGCTTATACGAGATCTTTACAATTGTCCCCGAGATGTTGACGCTCTTTCAAACATCATCCAGCCGTCCCGAAAGACTGAATTTGATGCCCTCGTGCGCTTCTTCCGCAGAGATTACTTCTGGCGGATATGGGTCGTACAAGAAGTGGCTTGTGCAGCGAAGGCCACGGTATATTTTGGCTCTGATTCCATCCCTTGGTCCGGCCTGGTCGAAGTGTGCGATAAACTTTCGGATGCAAGAGCATTTCTGAGGCGTGCTATCTACCACGACAAGCCCGCTTCGTTGTTCAGTCTCATGACTGGCGGTCCCAAGAACCTTGTACTCTCAAAGGGAGTGACATCGCCATTCTCCGAGACCACTGCTCCTTCACTTTTGGACTTGCTATCTACACATCTGAGTAAGGGATCATCTCTTCAACACGACAAAGTTTACGGGATCGTCGGCGTTTCTGCCGACAGAGACTCCTTTGGGAAGATAGATTATGGCCGCTCAGTGCGCGCTACCTATATCCATACCGCGAGGCACATCATTTCTACGACTGGAAGACTCGATGTTATTTGCATGCAACAGAACGATGACAATGTTCACGATTTGCCGTCGTGGGTTGCAGACTGGGAACGGAGGAATCTCTTTCCAAAACATCGAGTTGTGAGTCTTCGGTATCGTACTCCAGGATTCACAGCCTCAGGGTCTTCCATTTCAAGAGTCTCGTTTTCCCATAACGACGAGGTTCTAACAGCGGCCGGCTTCGTGGTTGATACAATCAAGATTGTCTCTCAGCCCCTCTACGTACACGGTCTCGAAAACGAGGTCCTCCCAACACTCGAGAAATTCAGTGATTGGTGGAACGTTTTCGTCAACAATGTTGGATCATCAGACGAGGATCTCGCCGTCTTTCAAAGAACGTTCTGTGGTGGATCATGGGCTCCGTCATACTCGGAAGGCGAGTTCAAGGAGGATCAAACGCATCGCTTGACGCTCTTCTTTGGTCTCATGCAACGGTTGCTTCCGCATCTCATACCAGAAGGTTCTCCTATTTCTTTAACAATGCCCGCAAACGCGGCTGCGGATGAGATGATCGAGAGATGCGAACGTGCAATGGTCTCTTCTGCGGCATTGCGAATGCATGCCAAACGTCTGGTTATCTCTGACGAAAAGCTCGCTGGCCTTGCTCCACAGCTGGCAGAAGTAGGCGACAAGATTGTTGTACTTCTGGGGTGCAATTTCCCTGTTGTTTTAAGGGAGGTGGATTGCCGTTGTGAGTTCATCGGCGAGGTATATTTGGATGGCATTATGCACGGAGAAGCAATGGAGGGTCTCAAGTCTGGGAAGTACAAAGAACAAAATTTTGAGATTCATTAGGGTTTCCCATGAGCAACATACAAAACGGAACCTGCCCAGTGACGTTTCTAAGAGGGGGGGGGGGGGGGGGGGGGGGGTTACCAGCAGGTTGACCAAAATAAACTCATCATTAGCCAGCCTCCCTTTTTCAACCACGACAGCCACCGCCATCGCATCATGTTCTCGGCACGAAGTTCCCTCACAAATCGCCCACCTTCACCATATGATGATCTCTGATCTCAGCCTTCCAAGCCATCTCAAGAAGGGTCTCACCAAGCACAAAATCCCATTCTCGGACAAATCCCGCAAACGTAACCCTTATCTCATTCAACGCCTACTGTTTCCGCCATCTTGAATATTTCGAGATTGAAATGCGATGCCGGAGAAGAGTAAACGCAGAGGTTTGGGAACAAGAATCCGGGTACAGTAGAACTCGTAATCGGTGTTAGTGGAAAACCAATTGTCTTAAAGTTGTGCCCAATACACTGCCCCACTCCTAGTATAAAAATAAAGTATTTAAGAAAATAAAAAAGAGAGCAGCTATTAAGAAAGCATGTGGGAATAAAGCATTAGCTAATTAAGAAGTTATAAGGGCAGTAAAAACAGCTAAAGATAACTATAAAAATATCTAGACTTAGTAAGAGGCATGTTTAGTAAAGCTATATTTGAGTAAAGTATTTTAATAAATACTAATTTTGCCATCCCCGAGACCTTAATATTTCCCGATCAGGCAATCGGGACCCCAATTAACTAATAGTCTATCTCGATTAATTAATAGGGAGCCACTGTGAATCTCAAATCGTGATCCTCCTGCGAGACGACAATCCCGTGTGGCTGGTGTGGACGATCGCTAAATTCTGATCTCACCAAACATTTCAAAAGATTTAAGCAGAGACCCTATTACAATTGAGATTGTGCACATTAATCGGATCAATTGTTATCACCTTTCGTGTTACATGAAGTTAAACGCCATTTCAACAGTAGAGATAGGATGTAAATTTGAGATGTTCGATGCCTTGAGAGTGAAATAAACCCAGCTCTTTCCCTGAGCACTGATCTGTAGGGCCACGGTAACGAGTAAGGATACAGTCAGCACAGTCAACGCCTCGCAAACCGGATGCCACTAAAACACCTTGCCCAACAACTCCTCTGCCATCGATGCAACCTATCTGCTAAAACATTTTACCCATCACACAATTCAGCGCTTATATTCATGGTGGACAAAGACATTCTCGTACATTAACGGCGCAGCTTCACCCCTCCTCCTCACCACTCTTGCAACACCATTAACGTTGTCAGTGATACTAAAACTCCAACCTCTTAACTCTTGCTCTTTCCTGGGAACACCGAGGAGCATAGCAGCATCCCCATACCCATAATTAGACCCACCCGACATCGCGGCTTCTCTCGCAGCTTGCAGGATCCAGCTCAGTGTACTGTCTGGCACCGGCTTGATATTCTTTCGGCCGCCATCGCCCCTAATCTTCTTGGAGAGGGCATACTTCCCAATAAAGCCGAGCAACACGAGCCAGTAGACGATTGTAATGACGAGAATGACGCTTGCAAACACAACCAGTGCAATGATGGCAGGATTGAGTGTTGTCCATTCTCGTACACACCCGTAATAGCGATGATCGCCATCAACGGTGTAGTTGGTGAGGATAGTGTTACTTCCACCTTGGACCATGGTCAACGAATTGAGATACTGCTCCATATTTCCCTTCGCATATATTGATATGGCAGTATCGGCACCCATGTAAAGTATCCCTTCGAGTCCATCAGCCCACTGGTTGAGAGTGGTGACGCTCTTCATCTGACTCAGAATTCGGTTGATGTTGTCGACTTGACCTGTGACCGTGCATTGGTATGTTTTCATGGTCTTTTGGTCCATTTTATGCCCTGTCAAGTCCACAGAAACCAAAACGTCGAACGGCTCCAAGACTCCATCTGAGAGAGCGCTGCTTGACCAAATAGCAAGATGAGCAGTGTTGCCAAGGCTATCGCCATAGTCTGTGAAGCTTGCGTTTGAATAGTATTGAAGGCCATTGGTATACAGCGACTCGCGGATATCGGACGGCGTTTGATCTGGTGAGAAGTCATAGTCCTTGAGCAGATCGGTGCACTCCCATCCTCCAAGAACGTCCTGCTCACTGCCGCAGAAGAACTGATCCCCATCCCATGGAACTTTCCTATAGATACCGACGAGGCACTGGTATTCGTGCGGTATAGTGCGATTCCATTGATCGCTATATACTTGGACATTTGCAGCAATCAACGCGGGATACCCGTTGGGTGGTGGGGCGTAAAATGTTTCCACGTTGTCGCTCCAGTCAAGCACAAGCCCTTCGGTGAACGGACAGAGATCTGGCAACGTGACTGGCTTTACGAGGCCAGTGACGGCCAAATCAGCTGTCAGAGTGAGGATGCTGGAGACGATCATCATCAAGCCGAGCCAAACGCCACCAGGGAGACGCCTCAGTTTCCACAGCACAACAGCAACATCGCGCGCTTGTAGCCAACCGGTCATTCGGTTGATGGAGACTGTCTCGCCTTGCAGGAGGTCCACCTTGGTAGCTAACTTGCAGCATTGCCGGCCGAGGGTACCAAGCAAGAATAACGCCGAGATGAAATACACACGAAGTACTATCCGAAGATAGCTTGCGTCGATTCTCGAAGTGACGTGAAGGCTGGGCATTGTCGAGATGAGGTTGTGAAAACTCTCAGTTTTGAAGTCCACGGTGCTGCAGAGATCAATCCAACAGGCGAAGACACTTTAATAATAGGCTGATGGGATAAGGCTGAGGACTTGAGTAAAATCTAGAAGCATACTTACAACCGTATCTGGACAGAGGCTGGAACTTACCGACTTACGCATTTACGACGGAGGCTACTCAGTAGCTACGGACTCTCCCGCTTTAAACACCAATCGCGGTCGATAGCAACCACCACCCTTTGGTTTTCCCTTCCGCCAAGATATTGGGTGAAATCCACTTGAAGACAAGTTTGCATGGCCTGGCAGCCACATTTGCACTGATAAGACACACGGGATGAAAGTCCGGTTTCTAGCGGATGCATGTGGCAAGAAGCGGGATCGAGCATCCAATATTTCAGCCCCATGAATCTAGCGAGTCAACCTGAGCCTCGAAACGCCATATTTTAGACGGATGCGGCGATGAGACACATTCTGCACAATGATTGGAGTGCAAAAAGTGCGGCGTGACCTGTGGTTTCACACCTTGCCCGATGGAGGCACTTTGTTGCTCGGTTGCTCTGCTGGAGAAATGTGGGGTTGTGGTACTGGTACTTCCATGTTCCATTCTTATTATCACTACGCTATAAAAGATGGAAATCGACTACAATCATTGAATTAATCCCATATCGTCAAAATCGTTAACATTAGTGAGGTCTGAAGCCCGCAGAGACACATATTCGGGGACGTAAAACACATGAGGGCATCAAAGCAAAGCAACCGCTAGTGTAATAATAAAACAACTTAAACTCAAAACCTTCATTGGCCTTTCATATGCCGGAAGTCGCAGAGCACTTGACAGTTGTGTAGACACCGAAGGCGTAGGTGTGGACCCCAGTACGACTGTTGTAGGATTTGGCGTTATCGAGTTCGAATTCGTCTTACGGGTTGTTGTTTTCGGAGATGCGGTCCTCGTCACAGTAGGTGACAGAGGTGTATCGGATGTGTTGACCACATCACCGACTTCCGTGCAGAAATTTAGGAAGTTTGATGTGAATTGGGGGTAATCCGTTGGGTCTCCCGTTTTAAAAACGTTGGCGCAGGATGCTGCCGCACTGTCGAAGCGAGCTGGCACCCAAGAGGTGCTGCTGGTGTAGCACACACAAGCAGCAATCGCACCAAAGCTCATATCCAAAAACCCTGGGGTGCTCGAGCTGCAGGAAGCTACAAAGGAGTCGAAAGCAGAACAACCACCACTCGCTTTCGGGGTTGGAGCAGCTGTCGTAGAAGCAGTCACTTGTGTATGAGTGGGCGATGGTTTTGCCGGAGTCGGAGTTGGGCTGTTGAGGGCTGGAGTTGAACCCGGGGCAGCAAATATGTTGCCAACATCTGTACATATTCCTTGCCATGAGTCCACCACGGTATATTCAGATACGTCTGCAGTTGCTGCCCACGATGCGCAGTCGTCGACGGCATTATCAAAGATATCTGGATACCATCCCCCAGATTGATCATAGCACAAGCAGGGGACTTGTTTAGTTCCAGGGAGGTCGACAAATCCAGGACTGGCGGATTTGCAGAACGAGACAAAATAAGACCAGGTGCTGCAAGCCGGTGGGATTCCTTGCCGAGGATAGAGTGCTGCTTTGGCTGCATTCCCGAGGTCGGTTTTGGCAATCACAGCTTGCAAGGCCAAGAGGAACAGTAGACGGAGCGCCATTGCGGAGGATGATGTTCAGATGAGAGGTGAAAGGAATTCAACTTCAAGTCCGTGAGACATTGAGAAAGGAATAGAAGCATTTCAAAAGTTCGGGAGGGGAACTTGGCGAATATGAAGGCGTGGAGCTTGAGTTTGGACTGCATAAAAAGCCTGTCTACCAAACTGCCCCCGTTGACCCAGGTAACAGGTACAACACACTTGTGTCGGACCGATGAGCCACTATCATTTGCTGCTTCCATCTGCAATTGTGGGCCGACGTTTCCGTGCAACGCACGACCCCAATGCCCCGCGGAGACCGAACTCGGCCGGTTGAGAATATCTCTCACATGAGGCTCTCTGGCCTTGGCACAGACCAAAAAGAGACAAAGTAGGCGAATGTGATAAGGCCAGTGAAAAGCCAACCTGCAATGATATGGAGTGCTCTCTCAGCTGAGAGCCTTGTGGTTTGCCTTCTCAGCCCTTCTGCTTCCCAACCCGGTAGTTGCATGCCCCGAGGACCGGATGGAAGTCTTGGCTTCAAGCCACAGGTGACATATCACACACTGATGGTGCCGCGTGCTGAGCTCAATCTGCTTACCAAAGCAGAGGCTCTGCAATGGGTCAAAGGGATCGTCGCATCGATGTCGTTTTAGCGTGTCTTGGCGGCACGGGGTCTTCCTGCCAACAGATGAACTGGAACCCTTGACCCTTATTAGGCTCGGTCTTCGGGATCCTCGTTGAGTTCCGTACTAGGACGAAACCAGGTAGATTCGCTATTAGCCTTGTAGGGCGCCTAGGGCGCCTGCTTGGCCCTTGGAAATACATAAAGTTATCCCCGACTACAAATATTAATCTAAGTTATGCAGAGTTATACGGAGCTAAAGGGCGCTAGTGGGGGTAGCTCGACGCCTCTGCAGGACAAATACGGGCGAAGGCCTATCCGGGTACGGGAGAGGCACAGTTACTGCCATAACGGGCCTGGTGTGGTGCAGAGGTCTGCGCGAAGCCTCTGGTTTACAGAGGAGTTACCAAATTGCAACGACCCCTCGCTGTGAATTGTGAAAGAACGAGGGAGCGATTGCTTTTCAACTAAGCCGTTCTTGCTGGAACGGCTCGACCAGCTCGGCAGGTGACTGTCTCTTGCAAATTGATTGGCGGGCCTGGATTTCTGAGCTTCGTGTGGCTTACCAGCCTCGCCCAACGGGCCAGGAATGTCCTAATAATAAGCACTCAGACCACATATGGAGTCCAGGGCAATCACTTGATCCGAGCCGTGCTGCCGCCCTGCTCTGATTTGCTATTGACAATTTTGTAGGATTCGGCTGCATATTTTTTTTTCTATTGTTTACTAATGCGGAATAGTCCAAGCCTCCAGATTGAGAGCTGAAAAAGCTTCGCGCGGGCGCCAATCAACTTCCCGCTCCTTCACAAGGCGCGTCTTCGGAGTGGAAAAGGCTTGCAATGGTGCTTCATTAATCCCTGCGATTTCTCGCTTTCCTGAGGCCTGCATGCGGGATTGGTGGGATGTAGCGAGGTACTGGGAGAGTCGGAGAGGGAGAGACATGGAAAGATGGAGCGATGTCTGGCCGAGCCTCATCAACAAAACTCTTGCCATTTCCTGCATGACCCGATCTCCTGAAAATTTGCTACACACTTTGCAGGACGCATCTTCATTGCTCAATATTCCTGGGGCTTCACGATGGCGTCCGTCGTTGCTGTGCTTGTGTTTTGCCCGCTAATCTCGGCCCTCGCATTCAATGCCCCGGCCGCCACACCCATGGCTGATGCTCTCAAGCTTCTCCCACAAGTTGAGATTCCTCAGCCAACAGAAGCACCCAACCTCGAGCTCCACAAGCGACAGAGCAATGTACAATATTCTCTACTTGAAGGTCCCGATTCAATCTGCGGGTATCAATATGGACAGTCTAGTAAGTGCCAAATCCTTACCACTATCTCCAATTGTTCAAAGACTGATTTTCGTGGCAAGGCGGCGAGTTGGGAATCTGTGGTACCTCACGATGTGGATTTGCAACAGCAGCCGGGGAGATCGGGGAAATAATCTGTTATGGCCCTACGAAAACCGCACCAAGATACTCCTGGACATCTTGTATTGGAGGCACCCGTGTTAGCAGCTGCCTTGCAGATTCCGCATGCAGTGACAATCCAGGCATCGTAGTTTGGTACGTTTGCTTTCCCTGAAAGATCACGCAAGGGTTTGCTAATGAGAAAAAAGTACGGATGCATTGGAATCATATTGCAACGTAGGCACATGGGTCGGTCTCGGCGTCGAAGCTGTGTGGTAAGTCCCAACTTCCCGGAGTATTAATCCGCATTGTATCAATGTCCGACAGCTCTGAGGACGCTCTGCTCGCAATGGCTAAAAGCAGACGGAATATTCTACTCCCGAGAAAATCTAAAAGAAGTACGCTGACTTACATTTCGTTGGAACAGGTGCGATTCTACGTATTATACTGGAATGTATTTCCCCCCATCTCTCTTTTTCTCCCCCTCACCCCGCTTTTTTCCTTTTGCTAAATTCGTTCTAGGATTCCGATATCGACAACTTACATTGGACAGGTGGGGAGAGAATTGACTGCTGTCCTTGATCCGGCATTAGCTTCAAGCACAAGCACATCAATAATCTCTAGTCCCACTCCCAGCCCCTCCGTAAGCCTCTCAAGGCAGACACCAACTCCAACTCCAACCCCTACCCCGCCACCTCAGCATCCGACTCCAGTCGGTGCCATAGTTGGAGGGGTTATTGGTGGTCTAGCACTCGTAGCCGCAATCGCAGCAGGCATTTTCATCTGCCTCCGAATGAAACGCAAGGACGAACAGAGAGCACAAGCCGGTGCCCCTCCTCCAGTCCAAACATCCGCTCAGCCCACCAGTCCAGGTGCACAATATCCATCAGAAAAATATCCCGCGACAACTGGAGCAACAGTCATACCGGCTTCGACATACCAGCAGCCGCCCCCTCAAGCGCAATATCCTCCTCAGCAATATCAACCGCCACAACAAACGTGGCAGCCGCCGCAACAACAATACCCTCAGCAAGTTGGGAGCTACGTGGAACAACCCCAGCAGCAACCTATTCAACCCTACCCTCACCAAGATTACAAACCTCAATCACTATCCCCACCGCCAGAGGCAGGCAGGCCCCAATCTCTTTCTCCAGATGCACTGAGCGCACATAGGGAATCTATGTCTGGCACGTCATCGCCTGGGAGCCCAGCACCACCTTACCCGAGCAGCTTTCCAGCGGTTCCCGAGATGACAGGCGAGAATCAGATGAGCCACCATGCGTATCCACTGCATGATCAGCCAAGTGAGATGCCCACGTGAGGTTGGTGGCGTAAGGTTGTTTTTTCAGTATCCTTTGACTTATAAATGAGATTATATTTTACTAGCACTGCAGGTACAGTTAATGATACGGATGGTTCCTGGATGCATGTGGAGAGGGCAGCGTCACTGAGTAATTCACTGTTGTATTTAAGCTATTGAGATCGAATGCGAAATGAGCTTCAATCCTTGTGCAATATTCAGAAGCAAACATCTCACTATGTCATGGAACCAAGAAGCCTTGCGGGTTTGATGGAGAACAGGGAAGGATCGAAGTATCACATGACCTATTGGCCCCTTAATTTCTCGCTTAACTTGGCCTTCGCTCGCGACACTTTCAATTTTCAAACTGTTCTACTTGGGATACCGAGTCTACGAAAGAACAATTGGAGATTGAGAATAGGCTGATTCGATTACAGTACCTATTACTTTAAATAGGACATGGGTTTGATGAGATGTCGGACATGTTAAGGCTGACAAAACCTACCTTCCAGCTAACGGGTACAACTTCATCAAAGCTACTGTACACTTTCTACATCAGCGCATGAAACATTACGACAGCCACAACTGCCATGGCACCAAATCTCCTCAAAAATGCCCTTCTCTCTACTCCCGTTTTCGTTTCATTCCTGCCCAACCCACTTGCTGCTGTGGGTGTGCTCGAAGTAAAAGCGCCAGTACCCTGCGTTGCACTGACTGCATTCGCAACTGGCGTTGAATTTGGAACAGGTCACTTCCCCATTTTAATCTCCGCCATAGCTGTGCTATTAGCGTAGCAGTTTATTTGCAGCAACGAGATCTCATTATCGTCAATATCAAACACCAAATAACCTAATCGCACAACGGTAGCTCCCAACTGTAAAGGCGTGTCAAACGCAGGAGCAATACCGAAGACGCCAGCTGTGATACCCGGCCCGCCTTCTGCGAAGGCGTGCCCAGTGTTACATTGACGTAGTAAGAAAGTTCCTACATACAGCAATCAGTAACTGGGAGTCCACAAAGTAGGTTATGACTGATATTATTGCTATCTATTATCGCCTGTACTGTCTTCCCTCTTCGCCGCAAAGAGTTTCTTGATATACCGCTGAAGACTAACTATCCTTCGATTGGAAAACGCACAACTAGAGGTGCTTCTCCATTTGTCCTTCCGACCAGTTGAATCGCTCTAGCACAGGTCGACAAAAACGCAGCCGTAATAGCGAATGTCGTGAGATTTTTCATCATTATTTATTTGAATAATCCGTCATGACTTCAGGCTTATAAACCTGGCCGGCTGGTAAAAACCACAAAGCTCAAAAAGTGTTGGCGAGAGAAATGTCCTTCTACTGTGATAAGGAGAAGGAACGAGCGAACGAGCGAACGATTGAAGCAATAAAGATAGAAGCAGGATATTTAAATCAATGCATATCGTGTTTCGCCCAAATAAAATCCAATCAGAATGCCCGGTGCGTATGCATGTATCATTCTACCTGATACCTCGAGACAGTCTTAGTCACTCTCGTATGTCTGAGCAGGACCATTCTAAGGGGGTATGACAAGTCGACAGCAGCGCATCTTTCGAAACTAAGACTCCTATGACGAGACAAGCAACAGCCCCCTTCCGGCCGAAGTCCCGTTGTCATATCACTGGTAACGATTTTGCCGACAGACAATTTGACCCAGCATCGTTTTGAGTAGCTAACCAATCCTACACCAATGCTTTAAGCTTATGCGAATTCTTGGGCAGCTTCATTATCCGGGCTGCAAGGCACCTCATCTAGTTCAATTGCGCTATGGAATCGAGTGCGGTCGTACACTTAGAGTTTCAGCCTTGCAGTTCTCGGCTGTCGTCCACACCTCACGGGCCGCCAACACCGGGAAGACGGCGAGAGGGTGGGCACCAACAACACCTTGTATCAAATCTCAATTTTTCCTTTACCGTTTGAGTTAGTCGCAACCTTCTGGCCGCATAACGAGGAAGATGCATTTTGCAGCGAAGCTTGACGAACACGCTCTACAGTACAGCTCGACCTCCCTCTGCAATGTCACGAGCCCAATACAAAGTTTCCTCTAGAATTCCTCCACAGATTCGGCCATCTTCCTTGAGTCAGCGCCGAGGGCCCAATACCTACAGAGTGTCGAAGAAATTCCCTTCGACGGTCCCCTTTACCACATGTCCGTCGACGAGTTCGGCCACAATTTGGGCCAACTCGTGAATGACTGGACACGTGGCAGCTTCTACAACAGCACGCTGCTCACGACCGGAGCAGCATTCTCCGGCCTTTACCAGACTGCTGTAGATAGAAATGCAGCAAGTCTTGTGTTTCCATTAGAGAAGGATCTCCCCACACTCATCCAGAACCACATCATGCTAGCTATTCGATGCTTTGTTCCACCATTCTTGGGGTCTCATTCGGCAGGGTGACTGTGGTACCGGACTATATTGGGTATCTTTCGAATCTTGCGAGGGAGAGTCCGTACGTGAGGATTAAGGACGGAGGCGCAAATCTGGACGGTATTGGGGGAGCGCGGGGGATTAAAAACTTGCAAGTCAGGATGAGTAATGTTGACGAAGGAACGAGAGAGGTGGGGCGTTGACTTTGGAAGAGTCGAGGATACGAAACCTGTTCAGAGAAGTAGACTATATGGGAATTCAAAAGGTTGTCGTTTACTTGTTACTCAATCACTAGAATTTAAGCTCTGATTTCTTGTACTGCCAAAGGTAAGTTGAGTCGAGTCTTGTTCCTTTGACGTGCCTGTCTGGAAATCAGACTCTATAGGTTCCCCTTTTAATGTGGCTAGTGAGATGTATCGCATGGAGCGTTTCACAACCTTTCGCTTATTCTCTCGGAACAGTTCATGAAAAGTCAACAATAACCTAACTTATATAATATAATCAAAAGAAATGCAGAATAAAAGACGTCTATCTCTCCTCCAATTGGAGTAGTAAGGCTTCCCTGCGGGAATGTGCTGAAGTTTTAAAGTGTTGAGCTTGAATTAAGCGAAGTATCAGGGGTACTGTGTCACAGCATGATGTTAAACTTCACAATCCACAGTCACTAACAAGATTCTGAAGCTTATTTATGTTAGCTCGTAACACCTAGCAATATCTTGTACAGAACTACTGTCCTACGTTATCAAGAACTATGGTCTCTGAATATGATTGGCCGATGTGGAACTCGGCGAACGCCTATCTCATAGCTAACCCTCCTGGGAAGACAAAAGAAAATATATATTTATACCACAACCTTTCTCAAACTCATTCGACATTCACCTCTTTGTGACACATTCTTATATTTTTAGTATTAATATTAATATTACAAGCACGTCAAGTCGACAACCTCCAATCCCACGATGGACAAAATCCTAGACGGATTCGAACCCCATACCACTGAAGATCCCGCTCCAATCCGCCGGTGGCGAACAGAATCCGCACCCATCAATCCCTCAAATATCAACTCTCAACCTTTCGTCGGCCGCATCGGCGGCAACCAACTCCACGCAATCTCCCAATCCGACCCAGAGTACGAGAAGCTCCAAGAAACGCACCCCGATGCGGTCCAATCTCCCAAATGGAAAGGCATCCTAAGTCTTCGGCCATTCAAAGATGTGCATCTCTGGCGAAACGCATGTCTTGAAGGCGTTGGATTGTGTTGCTGGGTCTTTATCGCTGGACTCGTGTCTCATGGGACCTCTAGTCTGTCAACAGCAACTTCGCTGGGCCCCATCCTGCCGGTTGGGATCGCTGCTATCGTGCAGTTCCTCATCGTCACGCTTTTTATCTTCAACCTTGGGCCGGTCACGGGCGCACATTTGTCGCCGCTGATAACTTTCGCTACCTTCCTTGCAAAGCTCACCTCACTACCTAGAATGACCCTGTACATAACTTTCCAATGTATTGGAGGCGTGGTTGGGGCATTCGTCCTCCGTGCGGCTCTTGGGGGTGAGCCAGCAGCGCTTATCTTCTCGCCAGGCTGCTATGTCGACCCCACGGAAGTGCCAGCCAGTCAAGTCTTCGCGCTCGAGACGATGGGGTCTCTTGTTGTTCTCTTCCTCGCCTTTGGACTTGGTCTCGATCCACGGAATCAAGGCAGTTTTGGTGCTCCACTTGGTCCATTCCTTGTTGGTATCTCTGCAGCAATTGCGCTTTTTGCAGGAGGAATTGCAAGACCAGGATATCTAGGCTTGTCGTGTAATCCAGCACGGTGTCTGGGATTAATGGCCGCGTCACATCGATTCACGTATCATTGGGTGCATTGGGTCGGGGACTTGACGGCTTGTGTTGTGCATGCTTTCATATATTATGCTGTTCCACCTTTTTGCAATCAGCGGATCCAGGATTGAGACAGGCCTCAAATGGGGAAACAAGAGTCTGGGCCTGTCGTTAGGCTTTGGGCTGTTTGTAGTAAATGTGAAAATACTAGAATCCGCTCTTGAGGAGCGACGTCACCTAAACCAAATTTCATTGTGCATATCGAATACATTTGCGATCCATTCCTAGTACATCTCCCACGCGGGTTATTTCAACCAGTGTGAACAATGAATAGAGTAGAGTAGAGTAGTGGGCCCTACTCATATTCTATTCATCAAAAATTCCCACTACTTATATTCTATTCATATTCTAATCAAGCTATTCATGAATATTCATGAATACTTTGAGTAGTATGCACGTAACGCGCATATATAACAGGCTAGCCTTATTAGGTAAAGCCCCGGGCACTCCCGCTCTAGCGCCACCTCGCCACCCAATCAAGTGGTAGCGGCGCTTGGTAAGCGAGCCGAACCTCTATGATACTTCTAGAATTACCTCGACTTAAGAACTTAATAATAATAGTAATTCTATTAGTAAAAATTAGGAATTAGGAGACTAGAATCTCCGAAATAAGGGGATTCTTTCTAATTAGGAGAATAATTAAGAAGACCTTAGAATATTAGAACTTTCTATAAAAACATATCGATTTCCTCGATTTTTATTTCTTCCCTATACTTCTATTCCATATAAGACCTCAACCATTACTCCTATCAATATACTTTCTACTACAAATATACTTATTTATACTCGATATATTCGAAAATGTCTCAATAATCCTCAATTAAGCTTAACTTAGCTCAAAATCACCCTGAGTTTGAGTTAAAACCCCTTGATAAGCAAGCTTCTCTCTTTAAGAAAGGCTACTTAAAAAAGATATTAAATCCTATTCAAGAGAATCCCCAAGAAATTCGTATATATACTATAAAGTGCTTAGTTTGAGGTTATTCGTAAGTTAATATATTAATTTTTAATAATTTTTTACTAATTAATATAATAGAAAAATATGGATAAATTAATAAATATATGCCCCTATAAGTAATTATTATACTCATTTTCGAAATATATATAAATTTATTAATATTACTAGTCTTAAAGATAGTAATAATAATAGTAAGTTATTTAATATTAATTAAAAAGCTTTATTTACTAATATATTTAATAGGCGAAAGTGAAAGCTCTTCTCAAGTCTCTTAACCTATTATAAATAACCTTTTTAATAAGTAATTAGGTTAAAGAGAAGAAAGCTTTACTATTAATTACTTTAAGAAACTATTATTAAGTTTTATAATTAATAATAATATCTCTTTTCGAGTAGTAAATATACCAAGTTTTAAATCACTTTTAAAATATTTAAATTAGTAAGTATTATTATATTCTTTATTATTATTATATATACTAATACTTAATAGTCAAATACTACCTTTATATTTAAAAATACTTATAGATGAGCTTAATTTAAGCTATATCGAAAAGAGTTTAAATATTAAAAATGAATTTCTAGAAAATATTAAATCTCAAGAAACCTTTTCTATTACTTTAGATACTATTACCTTTATAAATCAAAAGGCCTTTCTCGGAATTATTATATAAGTTTATATATTCCTATAATTATTAAATGAAATTTATACTAATATATTTTAGACATTTTATAAATAAGGATTTTATATTAAAATCTTATTTATTAGCCATAAAAGATTTAAACGATATATACTCTGGCGTTTATATGCTTTCTATTTTATTAGAAGCTTTAAAATAATATAATATCGAGTATAATATTACTAGGTAAGTAATTCTAATTAAATTTTTAAATAATTTATATTAATATATCTTTTTTAGTATTACTCGAGATAATACTAGCTCAAATAATACCTTATTAAAGGCTTTTATAAAGCATTATAATAAGAAAGGCATTAAATTTCAAGGAGATATTCCTTATATAGCTTACGTATTAAACTTAGTAGTTCAAGATATTTTAAAAGCTCTTATTAAGAACGATTATAATACCTCTTATTCTACGAATTTATACGAGCAAGAAATAAAAGAACTTGAAGATAGAGAAGAAGAAAGAGAAGCAGAACAAGTAATAAGTAAGTTCTCTTTATAATTTATAAGAGTTTTATTAATAAATTATAGATTTATTAATTTAGAGAAAGGTTCGAAAGACTATTATAGGTCTTAAATATAATCAAGAAAACCGACGGCTATTAGAAGCTCAAATTAAAGCTTTTAATATAGAAAATGCTCGATTTCCTTAACTTGGTAAGTAATTAATTATTTAATTATTTAATTATTAATTAATACTAATTATTTATAGATTAAAAAATACGGTGGTCTTTGATTTATTATATATTAAAGAACTTTTTATATATATATAAAGCTATTAAAGTAGTTATTAATAGCTCTAATTCGAAGGCTTTTAAAAATAAAAGTCTAGTTTTAACTAATATTAAAATTACTTATTTAAATAATATTTTAAATATAATTTCAATATTTATTAAAGCTACGACTAAATTACAAGCCGAAAATTATCCGACTATATATTATATTATACCTGAGGTATATAAAATATATAATAAACTTGAAAATTTTAAAAAGGAATTTAAAATAAGTCTTTTCTTAAATTCTTCTTATATTATTATACTAATTTTTAATAGGATAAAGTATTTATAGATGCTATTAATAAGGGAATAGCTAAACTTCGAAAATATTATCCTAAAACAGGCGTTTTAGATAATAAAAGTAAAGCTTTATATTTAGCCCTTATTCTTGATCCTCGAATTAAATAAGAAGGATTAACTAGTATTAGCTTATCTAATAGTATGTCTTCGGATATATATAATAGATTAAAGACTGATTATAGCATATAAGTAATTCCTTTAATTATTTTTTTTAATAAATTAATAACTAATTTTATATTTAGATATAAATATGATTATAATATATCTTAAGCTAGATCCGACTTCTCGGATATTAGTATGGCCGATTCCGACGAAGACGACTTAGATATATATATTACTAATAAGTCTTCTAATATGGAAGACGAATTAGTAACTTATTTAGAAGAAAAGAGAGAAGATAGAAAGGTAAGTAAATTTTACTTAAATTCTATTAAATAATTATCCGATATTCTCTTAATATTTTTTTATATATTAGTACTAATATATATATAGGTTAAGCCTTTAGATTATTGGAAGTCTAATGCCGCTAGATTTCCTGCTTTAGCTTTAATAGTTAGGAAATATTTAGGAATTCCAGCTTCCTCGGCTCCTAGCGAGAGATTCTTTTCTCAAGGCGCTCTTATTATGACTAAATTACGAAATAGACTTAATAAGAGTACTTTTGAAAGAATAGCTTGCTTAAAAAGTTGGGGGTTATTTAAAGACGAATTAGAAGAGGCTAAAAAAGAAGAGAAAAAGGGGGAGAAAAAGGAGAAAAAACAAGATTCTGAGGAGGATAATCAGTTTATTATTATAGAAAATTAGTATTTAAGTAGCCTTATATAAGTACTAGCTTAACTTATATAAGGCTGCTTAATAGGTACCTTAGTTCTTTTTTAAAAAATGAAATATATGTCGATTTACTAAAATCACGTGATTTCCACGTGACTATTCATGAATATTCATGAATATATATTCTACTCTACTCAAATTTTTTGAGTTTTACGCTACTCATATTCTATTTAAGACTACTCATGAATATTCATGAGTAGTATGGATACCTTGAATATTTCTTGCTCACACTGATTTCAACGAATGATACATATCCCTAGAAAGACACGTGTGTCATTACTTTCAACCATCCTCAGACAAGATCATTCAGTTTCGATCAGAGAACTGCGATGCAAAGAATTAACTGATTTTTGATTTTTGATTTTATGATTCCTTACTATTGTTAACTGCCTAAGCGCTATATAGAGGACACCTATTTACAATTCAAACCTCAGGCAATTTGTTCAATATATTGTCTCACGCTTGTGACACAATGATGTTTTATAAACCAATTCCTACGGTATTTTGGACCATGTGACCGCACTCATGTTTTATTGCAGCTCTATGAGGTTGATGCAATTGTTCTAGTCTTTGTCTCTGAAAATGCTGGCCTTTTTAGGGGCTTGAAATGCTTGCGATCGTGTCAAATTTCCCAGCCAAATACAAAAAGCGCTAACCTCATGCACATTCAAGACTCGTGCTTTCAGGGAGACTTCGAGCTTCCACCAGAAAGCCATTCTTGAATTCGCTTTCCAGTGGAACAGAACAAGGCAACCCTAATTTTGAATGATCATGGAACTCCAGCATTTCGTTCATAGCCTCATTCCAAAGATTGACTAGTTCTGGCTCCACCCATGGTTCGTCTGTAATCCAGAACTTGTCGTGTAAGGTTGCCGTCCCATGCTTGAGATCAGCCACTGTTGTCCAAATCGCATTCCACTTGCGCGGTTCGAAATTTCTCCAGGGCATTGGTCCATTTCTCCTGTGAGCATGCCTGAAGATCCCCTGCTCCATATATCCGCTATCAAAGCTCTCTGGGACCGACAGCAGAGAGATGTAGAAGTCAAATAGTTCTAGGGATGGCGATGCAAGCCAAAATCCACCGTTTATTGCCTCCGCGGCCATGGATTTTGGCAGATCTGGTTGTTTACCTCCATCCGCATCAGTTACCCCAACAAACAAGTAGGTGTCCGGTAGCCGTGTCTCCCCAGAGAGGCTCGTAAGACCTTCTTGACCTTCGCTCGGGCGTGTCTTACACCTTTGATTCGAAACAGGTTCGCTCCAGATGCCATCAAGGGATTTGATAAGAAGCATATCTGCGTCGAGGTACAGGATCCGATCGTAAGACACTTGTTCAAAGATCCGTAACTTGCAGAACTGGTCGATCCAGCGCTCGTGTCTAGGATGGATCCAATCGTTCGTCCACCGCACATAGTCTATCTCAATCACCTTAGCCCCCTCGGAGCGAAACACATCGCGCCGAGTCTCTGATACATGCGGGACAACAAATACCAATAGCGGGATTCCGAGGCGGGTGCATGTTGATGGACGGTGCAGAATTTGATAGATGAGGAGCCGGACTGCATCGAAATATGGATCTTCGACGCACTCCTCTGCAAGACGAGTGCAATAGAAAGTTGCATACGCAACTTTGTCGTGGATCCTTGCCATGTATTTCATGATACTCGAATCAATTGTATACAGAACAGGTCCTGTCGCCGCGACGAGCTGTTGAATAGCTCCCCCGATGTGTTCCTGAGTGACGAGATCCCGCCAACTTTGTATAACCTCCCACCTAACTATGACCAAATTTGTTGGGCAATGACTATGGCATTAGCCACACTTATTCCGATCTTAAATTCAAATTTAGACAAGATATGTACTTGGAAGGATACGGGTTTCGGAACGAGGGGATAACAATATCTCAACTAGCGCGGCTCTTCTGACCGTGCCCTACTGATTCAGGAAGGCGGTGACAGGGATGGCCGCATTTAGGCTATTTATTACCTTCTCAATCTAGATTCCAGGCCCGAGGTCTACTTGCGAATCTTGGGCACGTGGACCTATTGCGGCTCTACGCTCTATAACAATGGATCTCCTTCGTCAGAAATACGAAATGCTTTTTATTTGTTTAACACGCGCATATGTTGGCTCAGAGGACCGATGTTTCACATCCAATGAAATGCTGGAGCCATCAAGTTATCTATTAACGTCCGTTCACGAATCCCGCCGTTCACAAATGGCGGAGTTCGGCCAGTCAGTTGGAGAATCAAGACGCCAATTGAGAATCACTAAAGCAGTACCTGGTGAATAAAACCTTGTCGCTAATTAATTAATTGATAAGGCACTCCTCGAACCAGGACTCAGTAGCCCCCCAACTGCCCCGGCCCTTTCCCAGCGGCCTAGCTCCTCCACTCTCTCCCTTCTCCCAACCAAAAAATAATGACCATAATATATGCTTCCTATTATAGAAATGTATTTAGTAAAGAAGCAGAAAAACAATGAGAATATGAGGCGGTGACAGCGAGCGAGGTGATAACCGAATGAATAGTGGGGATAGGGTGAGACAATCTGACAAATGCGTGGTAATAGAGTCTTGATATTCAGTTTAGAAAGCTAAAAGAAAGAGAGAGCAGAGTTCTAGATTACAGAGGACGTAGCAGTGCGGAAGCCAGCGGTGATTGCCCTGACAACACCAAGGTCATGTGCTGCCCAATTGACACAATCGGATATGTGTTATGGGTGATGAGTAATGAGTGAGGGGAACCGAAAAGTAGGAATAGCTGTAGGTCCCCTCTTGCTGCTGTACCCGATTCCTATATAGCCAAGTCAATTCCTTACCGGTCTGTAGTACCCGCCACTTCCGAAGTGGCCTGGGCCATTCGTGTATGAACGGGCTTCGTCAATGAATGTTAACACATCCATTGTATCAAGTGACTCAATGGATGATTCCATGTGCTCCAATGCCTCAAAAAATTCATCGTCTGACATTGTGGACTGTGCCTCCAGTTTCTCTGACAGAGCTTTCTCGAACTGATTTATCCGGTTCCTTTCCCTGAGTCGGTCTAACAAGAACGCAAAAAGAACCCTTGTACGTTCTTCATCACTTTCTGAACCACTAGTGTGTCGCACATAGTCAAAGACTTCCTGCGCAGTTCTGTCCTCTTCGTCTACAGCATCTGGATCGAGGCCCCCGAGACAAAGGCAAGCGCTAGACAGGACTGCAATCGTACTTAGATTCCCTACGGCAGCTGCATCATGTAGTAAAGTCCTTCCATTAGCTGCTGATCGATCAACTCGTGCACCCGAGTGTAGTAACAATTTTAAATTGTCGTGGCTGTTATTGAGGACGCATGTGTGCACTGGCGAAAGCTGTTTGTTGTCAAGCGCATCTATATCGGCCTTGAGAAATATCAATCGCCGTGCAGATTCGACCCGATTTCGAACGCAGCTACGATGCAAAGGAGTGAGCCCATTTTTGTCAGCCAGATTAATGTTGGCATTGTAATCGAGTAGGTGATCGAAATACCGTGGATCATCATTCCCGACGTGCGCTGCCATCGACAAAGCAGTCTGGCCACGCTCGTTAAGGGCGTCAACATGGGCTCCAGCCTCGAGAAGGGGTTGAAACGATTTGTAATTAGAAGAAATGGCCGCTTCGTGAAGTGGCGTCCAGAGCGCGTCGGAGGTGAGGTTAGGGTCGGCATCGTGTTGAAGTAGGGTTGAGACAGCGTCCAGGTCACCTCTAACAGCTGCATAATGAAGAGGCGTCTTCCCCATTATATCTTTCTTGTCAATCTCAGTAGTCGAAAGGCTAAGATAAGCGTTTAGTGAGAGCGAGGCATTTGAAATGCCTAAGACAATCTTGTGAACAGGAGTAAGGCCACGTTCGTCTAAGTAGTCAGAGTCCTCGGTTGCCCCTCCGATCACGCAAGGCTCAATGGTCGGGATACGTAGCTTCTGGAACTTTATCTCCCAGCAAACCCCAATGGCAGACTGAAAGTACTTGTCCTTGTAGTCTCGATCAGCTGCCTTGTCCAACAGGAACTGTGCCGTTGAAGTGTGTCCATTGTATAGAGCGATGTGCAAGGCTGATCTACCGTCCGACTCCCGAATATCAATCGGTGAAGCTAGATTCTGGAGGAAGAGATCTTGGATATCGACCGTCCTGCCCTCCATAGAGTAAGAAAATAGAGGAGATTGGTCTGGAAGGATCCTCATAACCCGAAGGCTCATTGCCGGGGCGGCATTTGCGTCCCATGTAGCTACCACTTCAACCATGCGATGGAGCATCCAGCCGGGGAAGTAGTAGGAAGCATGGATTTTGGATTGATGTCGTCCTTTGCACCTTTTTTTGGTACATTTCATGGCAGTCAGTAGAGGCTTGCCGCTGTATCTCATGAACAGTAAGCCAGTGACCTGATTCATCCACCGTGGGAATTTGGTGAGGGTTGCTGAATGGCAGATGCAAGAGCAGGACTTCGGACAATCCGTCATCGAGACAGTCGTCTTGAAGCAAACTGCTTCTTGGTTTGAATCTTCTTCGAGGTTTTGCGAGCTAACGGAACGCGCCACCTCGGTATCATCCAGTGACGCTAATCTGATCGTCCTGTCGGAGGATTCTGATGGCGAACGAGGCCGTTGGGCATTTTGATCTCGCATTTGCTGCACCATGGCCAATGTGTCTTCAACGACTTTACCGTGGGCGGCTAGTATCGCTTGTACTGAAACTTGAGAAGACGAAATGACTTCACGCAGCTCTAGGTGAATTCCGCTAAAGGTCAATTGATCAGTCACGCCTTCAGTCAACACCATATCATGATAGTGCGTACGTGTTTGCCAACGTTAAATGCGAAACAAGAGACGCTCGTGCCTCACGAAGCGAGTCCCTATATTTCACCACTTCCTTCTCGTAACATAACCACGCCAACCTCGAGACTCTTGCTTGAGGCACCTGGAAGGTAGGTTCTGTATCATCTTTGAGGTTTGGGGAATTAGACTTTCGATCTGCAACTTCTTTTTTCGAGAACAGCTTCTGCGTGATGAAGTGGAGAAATTCCTTGAAGGTCTTGGTCGCACGAAGAAGGGATTGTTGAACGGCGGGTTGTGAGCTTAATGCTCCATTCTTATTGAGTGCCTCCAGAAGGACGTGAAAATCTGAGGCCTATGGCATTTTAATTAGCCAACTTGAGAACATCACCTCGCCACAACGGCAGTTACGTCGGAACGAATGGAATGCCTCCGACTGCGCCAAACTGCAGGTATCCGATCGCAATATCCAGCGCTGTATAGCACACAAATTATCCCACCTGCCGAGATTCCTCACCAGCAACTGCAACCGGGACAGGTGACGGTCGGGGGAGCGAGCAGACACCGGAAATCAATCTCACCTCATTCAAAAGATCCAGCACCAGGCTTTCCGCGCCGAGCGACCTCCGGATGTTTTCCAAGTATTCTTTCGCTGTCTTGATCGTTTTGATCAGGGCAATTACGTTGACAGTGATGGATAGAGGATCCATATTGGAGGATCGCGCATTGCACGTCTCGTCTGTAGGATGAACGGCGTCTGGAGAAGACGCAGTGTGAACCCACTGAGGGACGGCTGCTCTGCCTTATCTAGTCTCATACAGATGTGGCCGAGAAGAAGGCTGCCTGCAAAACTGCACCTGCTTCCATAAAAAGCCGCAGCAACTCAAGCTGCCAGGTTAAGTAAATCAACTAATGATATGATATCAGATCTTGGACGCTATAGCCTGTAGGTATAGAAGCCCAGCGCGGGCTGACCTCTGCCGTGTGTCTCTGCCTAGAGATGAAAGGCAGACTCACTTGAGATATTTATTTTCACAGCGCCCCACTCAACCGGCACATGCAAGAAGCGTTCACTGCTCGACCGCCGATACCATAATTTCACCACAACAACGGCATAAAACAAAGGTTTTGAGCTTACATTCGTTATCAGCGACCTAAAAATAGTAATTTGACAAGTTTTTAGAATTCTCTAAGAACTTTGAGAAAATCTCGAATTTTTGTTGTTCCGACAGGGGTAAAATCAGCCCGTAGGTAGCCGTAGCCAACCTCTTCGGCAACGCAACCCCACACGATTTCGTGGGTACCGAATCCCACAACTCCAGAAACTTCGAACATCTTGCAGAGTTGTCTGATCGCCACTTCGCCTTGCGTTTGGGCAGCTCATTCATCTAAAATAAAGGGCATGGTAACCCTACATTTCTGTGGATATCCTATCAGAAATGGAGGAAGTTTGGTTGACTTATACTTGGTTCCGTCGCACCAGAAATGCTAGTGGATACCGCTTGGTATCAATGGTCGGAAGCAAGAAATTCGTGGAAACGTATAACAAGTGGTTTGGGTTGACCTCGTAGCCCGGAGTATTTGGAAAGGGAGGAAGATGGCATCGAAGATTACTAAAAACTTGTTCACTGGAAGGAGGAAGCGAAGATCGTTGGCTAGCCTACAAGGCGCTCCTCGACGTCCATTTTGTGTAACTGCTACAGTTATACTGAGTCTTAGTTATTGTAAATACTTTCAAACGAATAGGAGTTATTAAAGGAAGTAAAATATATAAATTAGTTTCATATATAATAATAGAGATAAGACCTATATTAAATAATAGAAAATTACCCTCTTTAAATAAAACGCCTAATTACTATAAGTAATAGCCAGTAGTATAATAGATTCATTTTTTATAAAAGAGTTTATTTAAGATCCTTAAGAGCTCATTTAAGTTTCTTTAGATTAACTACTAAAACCTATTAAAATAATATAGTAAGGACCTAAGCACATATATTTTCATATTGGACAAGTCTTTAAGACGCGAATACTATAAGTGAGTAGTGGGTACTCTCTGACACTATGTAAGGAGCTTAGGCGGCTGAGGTGAGCTGGGCGAGTCGAGGGTAATTAGTGCCTGAGTAGAAGCGTCTATGCTTACCAACCGAACCTGGAAGAAAGACTGAGGGATTAGAGTGCGATTACTAAAAGAGTGTTCTTCATAAACCAAAATATGCTGTAATACAAAACTTGACCCCCTTATAACCGCATCTTTATCCCAATCACCTATCATTCCCAATGGGAACTTAGTGGGTGTGCTCTAGTTCAACCTTTGCTCCTTTCTTGTGAGAATCGTGATCATACACATTTCCATGGGCATAGATTGCCTCGTTCAGTCGCTGATAAAGCACGACCCTATTTCCAATTTCTGCACTGCCCCCAACCTCCTCTTGGTCTATAAAAGACCACCCTGCCCTCTCAAACTTCCCCACAAGCAATTTTCTTAGTCCCACAAATCGAATTCCCACCCCCTCGCCTGCGTAAGTCCGCAACTCGGTTTTCATAGCCTTCAACGCCTCAATCCCGGTGGCGTCAACGTACCTCACTCCCTGAAAATCCAATACCACAGCTCGGATTTGGGGCAAGTATTCCTCATCGCGGGGTTGAATTCTCGCCTTCTGTCTGAGGAACTTGACACGTTTAGCACCAAGTTCATTCCAAAGGCGATCCGGATTCCCGGACGCCGAATCCGAGAAGGGGGGGGGGGCTCCAAGATTCCACGTCTGCACCGCATCAAGAATTGACTCTTTGGCCCTTGAAGCATTGACGAAGATAATTGGGTAGTCAAACCGCACGATTTGCGTTCCCATCTGAACATGTTGTCTGCCATAACCACCCTCAAGCTGCGGATACACTTCCGTGAAGTTCTTGCTCGTGACCGTCGTCCCCTTGCTGAAGACAGTCTGCAGAACACTGACAGCAACCATGAACGCAGTTGCTGACTCGATCCCAAACTCAGCAGATACAAAGAGCGTAACCCAAAACGCGATCTGAGAAGCAACGAAGTCCGTGAAAGAGGTTTTCCAAAAGGAGATAAAGACCGAGGGTGAAACGACAATCTGCCACACAGCTACGATGATCACCGCACTTAGCGTCGCTTTCGGGATCCAAAACAGCGCGTTGGTGAGGAAGTAGATGGACGCTAGCACTGCAGCCGACGTGACTATTCCGGACAAAGGGGACTTGACGCCCGATTCTGAGCTGACCGCTGTGCGGGATGCGGCACCGCCGACGGCCATACCGCCGAAGAAGCTATTGGCGAGGTTTGCGACACCGAGAAAGGTCAACTCTTGGTTGGCTGAAATTGTGTAGTGGTTCTTGCGGCCGAAGGACTTGGCAATTGCAATGTGTTCGAGAGAGGCGGCGAGGAAGACAGCGACACTGGGCGCGAAGACTCTTTTGACCAGTGCTAGGTCAGGTGTCTTAGGGGGAATCAAACCAGACGGGATTTTTCCTGTTAAGTCGAAGAGTGGTGTTTTGAGGTTTCGGTTAAGGAAAAAGCTGGTAATTGTGAATAGGATGATGATGAGGGCATTTCTGCCGATAGAGATGATCCAAACTGCTTTGTTCTTTTTTCCCAGACGTTGACCCAACACTTGTAGCATGACGAGGAGAACCATGCTGCCCAAGCCGACGGCCAATGTGACTGGCTTCGTCAGGGGGAGTTTGGCGAAAATGTCGTGGATTTGGTTGGCAGTTCCTGTCCCGACGCCGGTTTCACCAAAGATGGCAGGTGCTTGCCCAAGTATGATTGTAATGGCTGCAGCTGAGATGAAGCCCGTGAGGACGGGAAGGGAAACAAATTCCAGCAGAAAGCCCAGGTTCAGCATTCCCATGATGAAGCAGTATATCCCAACTGAGAAGGAGATAGCCACGGCAATTGCAGTTGGTGTGAACCCCTCTGAGGAAACTTCCTTAATGATCTGTGCCGTTAGGAGGCCGATAATAGAAGTAGGACCAGTATTGATATCTGAAAAACTGTTAACGACGCTCTATATGCGATGCTGGGAGGCTCACCCTTTGATGTTCCCATGATAAAGTACAACCCAGATGGCAGCCAACTAGCAAGAAGTCCATCTTGAAGTGGAATACCAGCAATCTTTGCGTAGGCCAACGCTTGCGGAACCAGAATAACTCCCACCGTCAAGCCAGCAATGAGATCATTGATTATCCAGCTAGGAGAATAGTTCCCGATCCATTGAACGACAGGAACCTTTTGGATGAGATACCGCCCAGTGGCACCGGGGAGAGCGCGGGTTCCGTCCAGCAGGTACCCTTTGATCCGGCGATAGTTTTCGTCTTGAGACAAGTTGAAAGCAAGCTTCATAATTGCCGAGAGGGAGGTATTGACCAAAAAAAAAGATATTTGGAATGCGCGGGTGATGAAAGTACACAAAAAAACTCTTGCCAGTTATGGGTTTTGTTGAAATCTTGAAGTTGGTGGGAACGGCATCTTATTACATTTATTTTGATTGACACTTTCCATCCTTTGAATAGATTCTAGGGTGAAGATTCACCGCTTGCGCCTCCTCTTCAGCTCATGAAGCAGCTATAAATGCTAATTATATCTCAGAGAAGATAATCGGGCCGTCTTGAGGTATATCGACTGGATTGTATGAACAGATCTAGCTGAAAGGTGTATTTGAGCTGCTGGAAAACCATCTAAACGACGAGGGCCGGTGTTTCACAGGCAGAGATTCAAGTCAAAGCACGGCGCTAAGCACATGAAGTGCAGGAATATACAGGACGAAATGGCGAAAGTTAAGAATAGCTGAACCACCAACGTGAAACCTAATAGAGGTGTTTTAAGGTTCAGTATAAACAGATCCATCTCTGGGGGTCAAAGAGTTACAAATTGTATTTTGCAATTGTGAACGGCAGAGAAAATCAAAGAGATGCTACTATCTGCGTTGCCGCTGCTTTCAACTGAACATAACTTCTACACATCCTGAAAGATGCAGAAAGGGATAATTCCCAGTGAGAAGTCTTTTGACCTATCAAAGGCGTCTCCACACTACCCCACGATGATCGCCTCTGAATTTGTAAAGATTTGCCTAGCAAAAACCTTCGACAGTAGTCAATCCCGCATTGATCAACCCAAACTCTAAACCGTCTGATCTTTCGACCCAATGAGGCTTGTTTCTTGTCCATATGCCGAGGCATTGCCGGCCTCAGTTTTTCGTTTCAAACGATCACCTTCCAATTTGGGAAATATATCACCGAAAGAGGCAGCAGGGGAAATGTTCTGGACCCCGACTGGGAAACGAGAAGTGAGGTTAGATCCTTGGCTCAGGGAGCATCCTCTGATGATTGACCTAGGGGTCCGGTGGGTGTAACATGCCCACCTCTCTGCCCAATATCAGCAATTACTACCGGCCCTGTGTTACAAACGAAGGCTGTGGAGAAAGCATTGGTCTTGGAAGTTGGAAAAAGTGGGGGAAATCTCGAATCAGCCTGTGAAGCCCGGCCACAACTGAGACCCCCATCATCGATTTTTGCAGATTTTGAAACATAACATGCTTATCGGACGGAATTAATACCACGTTAGGCAACCACAATGGCATTTTCCGCTACACGTAGCAATGGACGGAAGCCACAATCAGTATTTATCTTGGTGAGCTGATCTTTGCTACGTTTCATCATGGCAAAATTGTCTCACCGCCTTCCTGACTTGCGATCTCGCTTATTTCAGGGGCTTCCAAACCATGGGTATCCAACAAAACCACGAAGCAACACATCCAAATGAAGATAATGGGTGTGTTGAGGCGGGGACTAAGTTTAAAACTTTACTGCTATGAGCTCAGATCAGAACGTGTGGGTCAAAGGCAATGTAACAAGGCACAGTCTCACATCCCAATCTCAAAATGTTCCCGCGCCTATAGCAATCCGAACACTTGAAAGCAATCACCCATCCCGAGTAATTGAAGGCTGTAGTTTTGGATACTTGAATATGTGAAGATTACAAGGAGGTTCTGAATTATCTGAAGTGAGTGAGTTTAGGAAGAAACAAAATCTGTTGCAAAATTTGAAATGTTGTCATTCAAATAAGCGAGGTGTTTCTCGAGAGTGAGAAAGTATGGCCCAGTGTTCGGAGGCTCTCTCCACAAAGAGTAAGTGATGAAACTTGGGTCACGATGAGAATGTATTAAGAGGTAGAAATGCCTCCCGAGATTCATACAAACCAAAGAATGAGATTATAAGGTTTTGAGGAAACTTATGGTTGTATCTGTAATATGGATGTTCCAAAAACAAAACAGTTATCTATACTCAGACATCAAATGCCCCATATCCTACAAAGATTTATCCGCATACTCAGGATTCTCACTGCTACTGCTCTCACTATCTCTCGGCTTGCTATGCCTTCTCTCTATCTTACTCGTATTATCAACAGATGTAAACGAGCCTTAAGTCTTCACTTTGATCTAGGCTCCATTAACCCTAGTCCTAACCTCCATATTCCCTTTCGCATTATCCGCACCCATCCTGTCCCTTCGATGCAACCACCAAGTAGGCCTAGCAATCAAACCACCCTTGCCAGCCCGACTCGAGCTACTCGTTCCTAACTACACCTTACCAACCAGAATCTCAAGCGTTTGGCGTTTTGTCTCAGGAATCACGAACAATAGTAGGGTCCTAAGGAACACCGTTGCTGCAAATATCTGCCTCATGTGCCCTAGAAACGGACCGCATGCGCTCCCTTATATCCGGCTCTAACCCCCTTCGTAAGTAGCGGCTTCGAGAGGACCTGGATATTCACCGCCCCGAGTTTCCCAGGCGCGGCACTCAACCGGTAGCATGTGTGTAAGGAGAAGCAAACGGAGGCAAAAGACGTCTCTCTTCCTATCTAAGCTCGAAGCCCTAAATGGCTTCGGCTGACTAACTGGCTAGCCGGTTCCTTCCCTGGTGGCGTCACCACCCCCACACGTCACCCAACAATGTGCTTCTATATCGTGTCGGGAAGCATTCAGCTGGGACTACGAACATTTTGGCGTTGGGGCCGAAGTTGAAAAATAGCTGCGCGAGGATGTAGAATACGATGAGGGAGATCTTGTCAAAAGTGCCGTATCCGAAGCCGATGGTCAAGAGGATGACTGTAAGGTTAGCGAAGTCCCTGATTTGGATGAATCTTCTGCCGAAGGCGTCCACGGTCAAAGCGCTAGGGAGATATACTGGCATTCCGCTGGCGCAGGCGAGGATCAGATTCCCGAGAGAGGTGGCTAGGAGGCCACTTGGGACCGGATTTGGTATTCGAAACCGAGGCAATCGGCGGAGTCTCATTGGAAGGCATCGATTTGCTCGAGTACCACCTTCGCACCTAAGAAGATTCCGATATCTGCATTGGTTTTTTTCACTTTCACATATAGGCTCACGTCGAATGTAAAGCGAGGCGTCTCTGAAATAGTAAGTCTGGAACAGAGTGAAAATGTACCTGGAAGGATACCGAAGCCGATGGCAACGCGCCAGGACCGATCGGCTGCAAGTTGACATTGCCCAGTACAATCTGGAATAGTAAGAGTAGTTGAGAACGGCCTGCTGAAGGCCGCTGCAGTTGCCAAGGCGACTATTGCAGCGGCTAGTTGCCCAAAGCTTGCATACAGAAGACTGCAGCCATCATGCGACCTTTCCACCGTATAGGCATGAATCTGATCTAATAATCAGTATTGTCCCTAAGCAGGAGACTCTCCAAAGTCTATACCACATCGAGAGAGAAGGAAAGCTTACTTGGCAGTAATGACAACTGACATTGGACAGCCCTCTCCAAGACCTAGACCCACAACTACCCTCCCAAAGATCTACAGCCACGACGTCGCGATAACGGGGCTAGCCTGCTAAGACTCTGGGATAGAGTAGCAAAGGTCAAAATGATAAGCTCCAGCCGATATATTCTCTTCCAACGAGAACATCTGCCGACCATCCGAACACGACCCGCTTGACCAGAGCTCCTCCTAAAGTGGCGCCTTTAATTGAAGATTGCAGGTATACAGTATCACCCCAACATTCTCTTGTTAGAACGCTATCCCAATCATCTGGACAGTGAAGTTGATAGCAAAGAAGTCATAGCTGTCAGCGAAGAAGCCGCTCCCGCAACGGCGACAGATCGGACATAATACCACCCGGGCGGCACTCTGTCAATTTCGGCCAGGGTTAAGGGTCGCCGTTGGTTTGGATAAATGAAGTGATCAAAATCACTACGTAAGTTGTTGGAAGCTGCATTGCCGCAAGGTGTGCATTATACACTCAAGTCCATTTCGAAGTCGACGTCCAACAGGGTCAACGTTGGGCCGGAGTGGCGAGCTGTATCGAGAAGCTGCGGTTTGATCTTGGTAACTCACTCATCTCTTCTCTTGTAAGGCAGGTGTAGCATAAGTGGACGGCGGTGAGAGTTAGCTAAGATGATGCCTATTGCACTTGCTAAGAGATAGACTTCCAGTAGACCTCGTGGGGCCTGTGCAAAAAGCTCCGGATCGCCTGGAACTGAAGCACCGTTTAAAACAGACATGGAAAGGCTTGAGAAGGCTTCGAGTCCCCGGATCATTATCGAGCGGGATGTTTTGAAATTTCAACCCGAATCTTCCCTACCGTGGCTGATTACTCAAATGTGATCATTTGTATCAACGATAACATGCAACACCCGCAAAAATCTCATCGAAGAATACCCTCCTCTTTATCGAGGAGCTCGTCTTTGATTCGACCAATGTGCTGATAGTCAGCACGTGGAGAACTGGAGGTGAAGTTATGCTAATAGGCGAGGCGCTTTTCAGCCCTGATTGTGGCTGGAATGCAAGGGCAGTTGCAGCCCGACTTCACTGATGACTTCTCTTTCCGTTGTCAAGGTAGGGAAAGTGGGTTTTCCTTGACTTTATATCGCACTCTGAACTCCATAACTTGCAGTGTGTCAAAAAAAAATCAAGGCTAATTAATTATAATTAACTATAGTTAATTATAGTCGATTATGATTTGATTCAGCAAATTTTGACTTGATTTGATTTGATTATGATTATAATTAATTATAATCAACTATAATCATCACGTGATACTAAGAAAACTTGAATTTCTCAAGTAACTTAAAAGATTATTAATAATTAACGGCTATATTAATAAGTTATAAACAAAACTTATAGAATATATATAAGAGTATAAAGTTAGTCTAAATCAGGTATAAAAAACTGCATATCTTTCTTAGAAACCTCTTTATCTTTTTTATTCTTATTTATCCTTTTTTATTTCTCTCTATTTTGAGGGATATTAAGGTTAATTAAAGATTATTGAGACATTTTCGAATATATTGAGTAAAAATAAGTAAGTTTATAGTCGAAAGCTTCTTAATTAGAGCTATAATTGTTGAGATATTTATATATAAAGTAAAGGGGGAAGAAAGCAACCTGAGGAAAATCACTTATTTATATGTAAATCCTCTAGAATATAGAAGATTATTTAATAAGCGTCTAATTAGATATAACCCTCTAATTTTAAAGTATCTATTTGTAAGAGAGCCTATTTTTAGCTAATTTATTTATAATAATAAGATTTATAAGGTGGCGAAGAATTACTAGAAAATCGAGAAGGTTTTAGCGCCTTCGGCTCGCGCCGCTTCGCTTACCAAGCAGCGCGATACCCGATTTAGTAAGGAGCGCCTTAAGCGATACCGGATACGGACTAGCCTAAGCCTAATTTTAGCATTATCTCGCTTTCGAACCTCCGAGCGCACGTGCACGCTCACGTGACTAAATAATTAACTATAATCAACTATAGTTGATTATAGTTGATTATGATTTGATTAAGTAGATTTTGACTTGATTTGATTTGATTCAGAGGCTATAATCAAATCAAACTAAATCATTTGACACACTGTCCATAAGGGGCAGGTAAGCGAAGCGAAGGAAGGCGAATCAACCGACTATTAAAAAGTTAGGACCAAATGCTGTTCAGAAATGGCTAGATTCGTAGCAGAACGGGAAGATTTCGTGGGATCGCTATTTGCACCAGGCAAAACCTGCACGTGTAGGCCTGAAACATTTCTCTATTCGAGTACGCTCTGTGTCTCCCGATGTCAGAGTTATCTCAAACCTTCCTGATAGCAATCCCTGATCATCGGGTAATGCAAGATCTTATGCCATAATTCTTCTACTACTATTGCTTCCACCTCCAGGTCTTAACCGACAAGCTCCAAAACTTCCACCTCCATCTTCAAGCCCTTTTCTTCCTTCCACTCGTTGACCCGACGGAGCAATGATATTCCATAGGGATCCTCCTCGTTTCTCTTCCCAAGCTTGAGTCCACCACTTCCACCATCTGGGCGGTTACCAGTGCGTACAACCTGCAACTTCTCCAGGCATACCATCTTCTCAACCATCTTCTTGAAATCGTCCTTTGTATTATCCCAGCGAAAACCTGGGCACATCTCGCATGATGCAACCGATCCGTTATCTGCAGAGAACGGCCAGTCGGTCCACAACGTATCAGAGACAGCGAGCACCTTAAGATTTCGTCGCAGGCGGGTACCGTGAAGAAATGGATGTCCCAGCGGTGGCAGTACATTGTCGACATATGGGTCGTAGTCCTCCCCATCATAAGGCGAGTGTGACTCGGCATTGGTATCAAGGAAGACCGAATCGATATCGTAATTGAACCAACGAGCTTCGGCCGCATCGTCCATCAGCCTAACCAACTCGTACCCGGTAGTTTCCTTCCCTGCTTCTGCTCTGGATTCCTGGCAGATGAAGCGGTTCGGCATGTTGGCGGCTGGTGAAGACATGAAGCGCCACGCAGCGCGGTATTGACGGCCGTGCATGTAGGTACGTCTCCGATGGCTCTCAAGGGTGATGTCGTAGATCACTTGGAGGATTTGTGGTCGGAGGTTCGCCTTCCAGATCTTTAGACGTATCTCGGTGGGAAAGAAGGGAAATAGGGGGAATTTTCCATGAGGGCCGAGTACAATGTGCGCTCGTTCGACAAGTGCCGTCGGTGTGGCAACAGTGGAGAATGGTAGAGGAGGCGTTACTGCTTCGGCTTGAGGGAATATCGCGAAGGGGGAGGATTGAGACTCCGGCATTTCGTTGTACGTGTCCACGTCCTCTATTGGCTGTGGAGATCGGGGAGAAGACATCTCTGCCGTTGGTGGTTATTCGATATGGAATGGAATAATCGACTGAGGGTGCTCGCGACGGTTGTTGGAAAGAAAAGATACCGCGCTGGCGGGATGGCGTTACGTGTTAGTCGGTCGAAGCTTCATATGCCATTCAAGAGGTATGTATGAAGAGACCGACTCACCTTGGGAAGCAGGATGGCGCGACCCCTTTTCGCCTAAAATGAAAACAAACAAAGAAGCTGGACTAACGTCACAATGCTGCGCCCCCCCCCACCATGTTTGCAGCAGTGACCAAACGATTTAAATACCATCTTTTCAGCGACATACAATTTTGCGATCTCAGGCCATGTGGACATCGAAGTTTTTGGTAACAAATCAAGCGGAATCAACGCTTCGCGCTGCAGCCACAATCAGGCCCGCCTCTTCCAAGAAGTGAATCTTGAAATCCTCCTCCGTCTTCTGAGGCTGCCAACCAAGCTCTCTGCTAATCTCAAAGTCAGTGCGAGAGCTATAAAACCGCACATTAGCCCAGCCTAACCCAAACAAGAGTTCAACTCACTTCGAAGCAAACCCCAACTCCACGAACAACACCTCGCCGCCTCCCAACTTACCCCATTTCCTCGCCGCTTCAATGATATCAACCCTATTCACGACATCTGTCCGTATAGCACCTAGATTAAATAGCGCGCTCGCAATCCCTCGCGACAGCTCCATCCAGCTGTACCTCCCCGTGCCGGAGAAAAGAATTCCCCTCTCGCCACTCGGCACCTCTTCCCCCTTCACGACTCTATGTAGCACAAGCTTGTAGAGGTTGGCTAGGTCCGCAATATGAACGAAATCCCACTCTGCCTTCCCTTCACCCACAACATCCACCTCGCCACTCTTCAAACTCGCCTTCATGATCGTCGGAACTTGAATCGACAGCCGATTCCCCAATCCCGTGCCCACGCCATAGATCGTAGGACTCATGATAATCGTTGTCTTTACTCCGTGAGCGAGACCCGTCTCCACGACCGCGATGTCTGTTGTGCGCTGTGCGTATACTTGTAGTGATTCTCGAGCTTTCTCATAAGCATAAATATTCTCCTTATCTGAGAAGACTCGAGGTTCCGCTTCCTGGTATGCACCGGTAATGGGCTGGTCAGCGAGGTTAGAGGTCCCTGATGTATGAATGTAATGCACCGTGTTTTCCGTCTCTTGGGCGCGGTCTGCAAGCCCCTGAATTAGCGCGATGGCGGACGAGGTGTGGAATCCGGATGCAGTGTGAATCACAACTACCAGTCGTCAAATCGAACCTCCTTCTTATTGGCTACTTCACTCACTATCATGTTGACTGGCAACTTCTCTCAGCAGATCTGTCTCGTCCAAGCTGTTAAAGAGTAAGGCCTTCAGACCCTTCGCTTCATACAACTTTGCTTTTTCTTCCCCTCGAAGGAGAACGGAGATTGAGATTTCGGGCTTGGAGAGTTGGGGTGAGTCGAGGAGAGTGGAGAGGACGGAACCGCCGCTGGGATGGATTAGAGATGATAAGGAAGATGGCAGGGGAGGCTTACATGTAGCCGGTTACACCAGTTATTAAGACCTTGAGAGCCATCTTGCGTTGTTTGGCTGAAAAACTAGAGAGTGCGAATGTGGATCTTGAGAGTACTCGACGATTTATGGATGCGCTTCGTTCAGTGGAAAAAGAGGATCGGATTCCTGACTGCAAAAAATAATGAACAGTGCTGGCAAAATAATCAAATCCGTGAGACAGAGAAGAATATTTATACGTCACCAACCCATTTCTCTTCTTCCTCTTTATCTTTCAACTCAAGCTTGGTAATGTTCTCTTGAAGTCAATGGGTAAGTAAACGTCATCCCCGCTTAGCGGGAAAGGGGGGCCTTGGCATCGCGAAAACTGCCACAAGGGGCTGCGAAATGCTTACAAATAGAAACCCGCAACACCAAAGACCCAGTTTGCTGCCACCCAACTGCCAATTCTCGTAGAATTGAATTGGTAAGCAGAGGAATGATATACCATCCTATCATCGGGTAAGGCGATTAATCCCGGTCACCGTTCGGCTTGGTTACTGATACAAAGAGTGTTGCTGCGTTACAAAACCTTTGTAAAAATTGAGAGGGCATAAATCGTGAGGAAAAGGTGTAGGGTCCTCGTGCTTGACATCCCACTGACGCTATGAACGTTCATCCACATAATATTGTCGCCCAAAGAGAATGAATGCTTAAATAAGGTGCGCAAAATCTGTATATATTGGTCCACGGAGGAGCAACATCAGCCACGCATCAGCCACGTTTCCCCGGACTTGCCTTAATTGCTCGTAATTTCTCGTTCAAATCATTCAACTGCACCTGAAATCGCTGGTCTTGGCAATGTTTTTCTTCCTGTAATTTCGTCATCCTTTCGTCATTTTTCTTGTCTTCCTCCATCTGCTCCTCCCGAATCTCTTCTTGCTGCGCACTTAGATCATGTATCGTGCTATCAAATGTCTTTCTCTCCAGGTGAAGCGTCAGAACTTTCTCAAGTGAAGATCGTGTAATCTTTTTCTGTGCTTGGACCTCCACGTCAGACAACTTTTCAAGATTCTGATGTTGAAGTTCTGCCAACTCCCGACTAACGGCTGATGCAGCCGCCGTCTCCGACAGGGTCTTTCCTTCGAAGAGTTCTTGCTGTATACGCATCACATGGGGCTGCTTGGCCGCGAATCGTGAAAGCAACGCGAGGTTCGACTCTCGGTCGTCCAGTATTCGTTCGACAGTAGACCCTTGTTCTTGCATGACTTTGAAAAAACTTTCGGTCCGCAACAATTCTGTTTCACGAGCAACACCCTGGTCCACTCCCACTATATCCCAAAAAGTCGTGCCAAGGATGACATTCTTCATGAAGTCCTCCCCGCAAAGCTTACGAAACATTCTAAGGTTGCGTAGTGCTGAACCTTCCATCTTTGTATCCGAAATCCGATGCAAATAAATGATACCGTTGATTTTAACCCCGTCTTGGTAGGACTTAAGGAGCCAATCGGCAAGCTCCTTCAGTACTTCATTGTCTGACCGGTAGGTATCGTTGAAACCCGGGGTATCCACTATCGAGTACACCTTCCCGTCATGCTCGAATTTGTAGGACTGCACCTCCTGAGTCACTTCAAGTCAGTCAGAAGAGGTTTCCTTTTGACTCAGGGTATATCAAAATCCTCACTCGATTGAAGCCCACTTCCAATAAGGACGCCGTCATTCCCCGTCACCCTTCGGATGAAAGAGCTCTTGCCAGCTCCCGTCACGCCCATAACTGCAACTACAACCTCAGGCACACCTCTTCGTCTCTTTGGCTCTTGTATGTCTGGTGGGGGCGAGTTCTCCGCAACTTGTCGTTTCTGCAATTCCTGAAGTATTGTCGAGAGCCGAGATCCAATTTGAGAGCCGCGACGTGGTGCAAGAGGATCCGACTCCATCTTGTGCCGATTTCACCGCTATGATGCAATTAGATAGACGAAAACGAAGGATTCTTGTGCTTTCAGGTATTAATCTACATCCACGAAGATTGCAGTCGTTTAGAGTTGGGCAGTCGCGGTTCCATCAAAGTCGCTGAGGCTACTGGGAATTTGAAATGGTGTGATGGTGTTTTAGCTGAACTGCGGGGGCGTTTTCAGCTTTGCGCCTCAATCAGCGCCTACCTTTTCGTCCAACGCCAAGAAATGAGCCCGACTGACAAGCTATCAGTATCGGACTTTCTCCACCCCGATTCAGCGCCCCTACAAGAACCTAGAATGATAGAAACAACAAAACATAATGCTTAACATTGATAGTGTTTCAAGAGTTTGTTCCTGTGCTTGAAAATGTTAACGTTTTTGAGCAAGGCTGCGAGGCTGCAAAGCCTTCACATTAGGCAGACTGGAGATGTCTCAGACTGTATGCACTTCGAAAGTGATTTTTACTTTTCAGTAGATTGTGGCGTAAGGTGGCAAGCCCATCTTCCACAAATTGTACTTCGCCAGGCCGAGTCGGCAGGCACTGTTCCATCCACGGTCTGATGATATTCCGGCGTAGTCTTCTGACACAATGCGATAGGGTGATCTTGACTCAAACGGGAGAATTAGAAACATAATTTTTTTCTAATTGGCTGCTCGTCAACTAGTCCTAAGTCAAGGAAGGAAAGCCTTAGGCTGATTGCCGGTCCAAACTTTCAGCGCTTCTGACCAAGCTCTCTTTCGCCCGCTTCATACAGAATTCTGAACAAACACTTAACCAGTTGCCCCAAGTTCGAATATTGATCAAGCAGAAAGACATTTTGTAAGTCATAATCTCTGGCACAACAACAATGACTGGCACGGATTCAACGCCTGAATCAGCGAATCGGCCAACACAATCACCTCCAATTGGATTCTATGGCTCGAATGGATACCAATCTCCCCCACTAGCTCCAAGGCCGCCTCCAACTTCATGGAAAACGAACCCCTCAAATAGCTCTAACGGATCGCAAAATGCGGCATCACTTCCTCACAGAAAGTCCACCCGTCCTCCACCTCTCCCCGCTCGAAAGCCGGATTCGCTCCGCATGAAGGACCAAGCAAGAGAGATCAAAGATAGTGGCGAGGATATCACATTCACGTAAGCCCTCTTTCCCCTCAAACAGTCGATATGAGAACAACTTCTCTGAGACGTGTCCGTATCCTAGCAAGCATGACATTATCATTGCCGTCATGGGAGTAACGGGTGCGGGTAAAAGCACCTTTATCTCTCTATTGTCAGATCAAGAAATAGAAATTGGACATGGTCTACAATCATGTAAGCTACAGAGAATTGTAAAGGTGCTTTACGCTAAACAGTGCCAGGCACTACCAAAGTTGGGGTCTATTACTTCAAATACCAAGGTATTCGCATATTTCTCGTCGACACACCTGGCTTCGACGATACGAACCGTTCCGATTCCGAAGTCCTCAAAGACGTGGCTTTCTGGCTAGCCGCTTCGTACACTAAGGAAGCTCGCCTTGCTGGTATAATCTACCTCCATCGAATCTCAGACCCTAAGATGGGAGGCTCGGCACTGAGAAATCTGCGGATGTTTACGAAACTCTGTGGAAGCAATAATCTCAAATCCGTTGTCCTTGTGACGACCCACTGGGCGAATGCCGAAACAGGTATCAGCGTAACTGAGAGCACCGGACAAGCAAGAATTAATGAGCTTGTGGAGAAGAAGGACTTTTGGGGTGCCATGATAGAAAGAGGAAGCCGTGTTGAAAGACACGATGGAAGCAAGCAATCTGCTTTAAGGATCGTGGGGGCCATTATCGACAGAAAAGTCAGGGTTGTCCTCGACATTCAACGACAGTTGATTGACGAGCGAATGAATCTCGATGATACCGACGCAGCCCAAGCCTTACGCAGCGAGTTGATTGCCGAGCGTAAGAAATTCGAAGCAAGGTTGGTGGAGCTGAAGGATGACATGGAGTTTGCTATCCAAGAGAAAGACATGATATGGCAACAAAAGATCAAGGAGGAACAAGCCCGAAACAAAGCGGACATTGAGAAAACTCACGCCGAAACCGCGGCCCTCCGGACGAACCTACAAAAGATCGCCAAGGAAAAGGACGAGCAATTCCGCAAATTCCAGGAGGAGATGGCAGCACAACATCGGAAGTATGAGGCCCAAATCAAACAAACTACGGAAGCACTCGAGGCTGCGAGAGAAGAGCAACGCCGCAGGGCTGATGAACACGAACGACAGCGAAGGGAAGACGCGGCTCAAGCGGCACGCAAAGCAGAAGAATACCAGAGATCAGTCATCGAAATGCAAAACCGCATGCGGGAGGAGCACGACGAAGCAATACTTGCACAAATGGAAAAAGAGAAGCAAGACCGAGAGCGATGGTACCAGCAGCAGCGTGAAGAGGCTCGAGCCGCGGCCGAGGCTGCTGATTTACGTTGGGAAAGCCAACAGCGAATCGAGCGGGCGAGGGAGCAAAGACTGATAGATGAGAAGAATGAAGCTTACAGGAGAATCAAGGAGGTTGAAAGGGAGCAAAATAAAAGTAAGAGATTTTTTGTCGACGCTGTCAAGGTTATTTGCAATGTTTTTAGCCTTGGGTTAACCCTCACGGGCAATGCTCCGTGGGTGGGATATTGGCAATAATTCCCCTTCCAGCTTTACTTATCATGAGGTACTGATGTATGGAGTAGGAGCTTGGTACAATCCCTCACGTTGGTTCAATGGTAAATATCGGGACTAGGGAATGACTTCATGTATCCTATATTGTTGGCGATTTCATAGGGTTCTTTACTATCATCTGGAATTTGCAATCTTTAAATTCAAACTTCCCAGACCGACATGGTGTGACGCAATGACTATACTCTCATGTCTAGATAGTTCAGTACTATGGAACGCGTTGGAATGGGCTTGGTGGGCCTACCGGTAGCATCTGATTAGCGACTCAGAGGTGGTTAGACACAACTCAGTCCCAACTAGGCGCCATGATAGAGTTGCTCGAGTCGAAAAGGCCAGATCGAAAGAGAGAAATTAGGTGCATCTGACTTTAGAAGGCCCCTGGCTGTATGTAAAGGTGCGCCTCGTTTGTGGTGGGTACGTGAGCACGAGCAGAGGCGATTCCCAATTTCTCCCCCTTCTCCAATGTGGATACGAAGAGTACCTGTTAGCCTCGTTACCAACCTGATACAAGTAAGACGAGAAGCAGTGCTTGGAATTGCAATAGCAGATCAGGAATCTTGAGATTATAAGACGAGCGCAAGAATCCGTTGATTATCAACCAAGTCAACTACTCCACTTACCCGCAGTCTCCCCCTCTTCCGTCCGTCCCCCGACTTCAACTCCCCCTTCAACTACAAACCCCAAAAGCAGGCTGGCATCCCGTCGAGCAATAAGCTGCGACATTCCCACAATATCCATACTGCGAGCAACAGTATCCCGCTGGGCAAGAAACTACATACGGTGCTCCACAGGCTCCAGCCGGTTCAGATGGAAGCGGTGATGCGGAGGATGAACTTGTTTTCGAGCTTGTTTTCGTAGCGAAGGCGCTCGTGGAGGAGTTAGAAGAGCTAGTTATGACTTATTTTCTTGAGCTTGTGGATGTTGGGTGCTTCGAAGTGGTGCTTGTTGAGGCTTTGGTGAGGGGTGAGGATTTAGAGATGGTGGTGAACTTTTTGCATGATTTGGTCGACTTTCTGGTTTGTGAGGATGTTGATTTTGCTGAGGATTTTGAGCTGCTCCTTGTTGATGCTTTTGTGGAGGAGGTTGTTCGGTGGCTTGTTGAGGACGGGCTCTTTGTAGAAAGTGTGGATGTTTTTGTCGTGCTCTTAGCTGAAGAGGTGGAGGTCGGTGCTGGGCACAGTCGAGGCGGTTTGGAGTCGTAACCTGTCAGGATGCTTTTCACTGTCGATGAATCGCAGTAAAGCCTGCGTATGATAGATTGACTCCAGCCTGTACGTCGGTTTGTTTGTGACCAGAGAATGATAGGCAGAATTTGAATGGGTACACGTAAGGTAAATGGATGACTGACACTTCAAGCCTGACACTTAGACTGTCACGCTGCCACTCAGCAGTCAGAACCAAGATTGGAGAGTCTCTTTTCAGTAATGAAAAACAATGTCCCTACGTTGGAGCCCAGGATGGCTGGCAAAATGAAGCATTAATTTATCACATAATAAAAAACAACCCAAACTCCACGCCACACTGTGAAAACATTTCAATCTCAATTTTTGCCAGGGCAAGCAGCCTCTCGATTTGCTTTCGGCGGCCAACTCGCCGTCGAGATATTCATCGCGACCGCAGCAGATCTCCACATCGTCTCTGCAGCTGGAAGCACATTCTTGCATCTGCGCCACGTAAGTTCATGCAGTTCCACCCGCAGATCTCCAACTTCATCGCCTTCACCACTAACCTATTTACATTTATCCTTGCTACAGCATTAATCGCCACCGGCAGACTCAGCGGCTGCGATACCACATTCCCTAGCTGATCTAACACATCTCCAAAGACTTTCTCGAGCGTCGCGGCAGCGGAGAGCCCCGCTGTGTCGATGCCGGGGGTGGCTTTGAGGAGCTTGACGTTCACGGGCTCGTCTTGCGCGAAGGCGAGGGCTTTGGAGGCACCGGCTTTGAGGGCTGGACCGGCAGGAAGAGCGAGGGCGACGTTGAGGAACTTGTTGACGGTGTTGACGTCTTCGATCCAGTTATTTACTGATTGTGTGACTGTTGTTGCTTTCGTTCTTGTTGTTGCTTTTGATGATGCGCGTTTGGGGAGTGAGTCGAGCGGGTCGTCGATCTCCAGGCCTTGGGGTTGGAGAGAGTTGATGGGAAGGGGTGATGAGTAGACGATGGCTATTAGGAGGCAAGAGAGAGTGGTTATCAGGAGGCGCAGCCGCATGATGATTAGACGAGGAGTTGAAGGAGAGACATTGAGACTAGGACTTGAAGCTGGGGAAATCTGGGAGTGTGGTTTGATATAAGAAGCAAATACACATTGGTACTGCACAACATAGCGTTTATGTCAAGAGCGGTCAAACCATGCGAATACCGGGAGCGACACACTGTCACTTAGAAGAAACACGGCGAAGAAGACGGGACAAGGGAGATATATGGGAAGAGAAGAACAACGAGTGCGAACTAAGTGCGATTTGGCAAAACTTGGAGTGCCTCGAGTCAAAGCGTCTGGAACTACCCACACAACAACTTCCTTGCGAAGATTTGAACCAGTCTCTGGTCCCTTGGGGGAGTCATCCATCGGATATCTGGAATTGGACGTGCCCGTAAGAGTTCTCTAAAAATGAGAACGTTGTGTGGGCCAAGGGTTCGGGAAGCCGTTTCAGGGCTTCCCTTATTTATTGAAATGGAAACGCATCGGAGCTCGCTGTTCGAGGATTTGTCCAAACTTCAGGGTCTGTGTCCAACGAACTTGAGGAGCTGGTGAAACCTTCCTTGCGATTACTTCAGCATTCCCTGTCATTGTCTGACGATTGGTTGTTGAAGATATGCGGGTCAAGGCTCAACAACTTTCAGTTTGTGGGCCGCGGAGGAACTTGATCTAAGTGGGTTGGTGATTGAGAAGCCTCTCGTCGTGTTGTGTTGTGTTGTGAGGAGAGCAGAGAAGAAAAGGGGGAAGTCGTGGTGCTTTGCCTGGACTCGGCAAAAAGCTTGGCAGCCTTGCGATGTTTGCACCGTTTGCATCCATCTCGCGCCTCCAAAAAAATCGCGACTCGACCAGCACAGCTCCAATACCCCCCCCCCCCCCCCCCCCCCCCCCCCCCCCCCCCCCCCCCCCCCCCTTCCCCGCCCTCACCGCACAAACCTCCTCGATGGCGAAACGACAAGCTGCAGAAGCCCTCGAAGATATCGCCGGCACCGACTCGCCCGCAAGCAAGCGCGCCCGCTCCGAGAACTTCCACGAACTACACAATGGCTCCGAGCTGCCTGCGCGAACGAAGGCCTTTGAAGCAACCGTACAAGAAGAGGAGGATGTCGAGGGAGAGGCTGAGCCAGTTGTTAGACGACAAGCAGCTCCCACCGAAGGGTTTGCAGATCTATATCTCGACACGATAAACCGGAGTGTACTCGACTTTGACTTTGAGAAGCTGTGTTCCGTGTCTCTGTCGAATATCAACGTCTATGCTTGCCTAGTCTGTGGGAGATACTACCAAGGACGAGGTCCGAAATCACACGCTTACTTCCACGCTCTGGAGGTAGGACATCATGTCTACATCAACATGGCGACACAGAAGGTGTACGTTTTGCCGGAAGGCTACGAAGTCACCTCCAAAAGTTTAGACGACATAAAATTCGTCTCCGATCCTACCTACACCAAGGAACAGGTCATGACTTTAGACAAGGAAGCAAAGACGGCATGGAGTCTGAGTGGGAAAGAATACACGCCGGGCTTCGTGGGGATGAACAACATCAAAGCAAACGATTACTTCAACGTCGTCGTACAAGCACTCTCCCACGTCCCACCTCTCCGAAATTACTTCATGCTAGAATCCTTCTCCTCGTCCCCGGAACTCGCGAAAAGATTATCCATCCTCGTCCGCAAGATCTGGAACCCCCGCGCCTTCAAAACACACGTCTCTCCACACGAACTCCTGCAAGAAATCTCCCTTAAATCAAACAAGAAGTTCACCCTAACCGCACAATCCGACCCGGTCGATTTCCTCTCCTGGTTCCTGAACAATCTACATTTGGCGCTTGGGGGAAGCAAGACCAAACCAGGAAGCAGCATGATCCAGCGCGTCTTCCAGGGAAAGCTGAAGGTCGAGTCACAGGCTATAACTGCGAAGGCAGACGCCGGCGATAGGTTGCGCTTCGAAGAAGCAGCCGAGGTGAAAGTCGACGTAAATCGCTTCATGCTGCTCACACTCGACCTGCCCGCAGCACCGCTGTTTCAAGATGAGTTGGAACGGAACATCATCCCTCAAATCCCGCTCACCAGCATCCTGTCAAAATACGACGGCTTAAAAGCACAGGAACATCTTAATCAACGGAAACGGTATAGGTTATTGCATCCACTTCCTCCGTACTTGCTCTTCCATATCAAGCGCTTCAGCAAGAATAAATTCGTCGAGGAGCGGAACCCTACAATCGTTACCTTTGACGCACGGAATTTGGACTTGTCTCCGTACGTGGAGCCGAACCCTTCTTTGCACCCACCAGGGGAGCCGATCTGGTATGATCTCGTGGCGAATATTGTGCATGAGGCGGTAAGAGGGAGAGAGGACTCAGTGGAGGGCGAGGCGGAACGGCATGTGTGGAAGTGTCAGGTGCAGGATAAGGGGAGGGAGGAGTGGGTTCAGATCCAGGATCTGTTTGTGGAGAAGACGCAGAAGGAGTTGCTTTATCTTGGGGAGAGTTATTTGCAGGTTTGGGAGAGGAGGAGGGAGGGGAAGCGGAAAGCAGCTAGATGAGAATGAGGATGGGCGATGAGAAATGAAGGATGAGAAGATGGAGGGTGGAGCGAGATGTATTTGTATTGTTCCATGAGCTTGAGATTGGCTCAGAGTGGAATGAGGCCACTATAGACAATGATACCACACATGCAATGCTATGCTTCTCCCTAACTCCGTGAAATGCCAATCAAATCAATCCAATTCATTTCTCTTGCTTTGAAATGCTATCACATCATTCCTCTTCGTCAACGGCTGCAGCGACCCCATTCGTCTTCTGTAGCCTTGGTATCTCAAAAACAACACCGCTATTCTTCCCCTTGACTTCGTTCCATCGTCCAAATCGATGCTCCTTGCCCAGAGCAACAACAACACAAACACCGTCTTTCCCTCTATCTCCGCGTTCGAAGACAGAGATGTCGTTGACTATACCCTTAATTGCTCCTTCTCGCTCGCCATTGACTTGCCCGTTAGTCTCGGGGATGATCCCACCCTCTCCAACAACTCCCATAGGCTCGATCTTCTTTTTGTCGGGGCTCACTCTCCACGCCCTCACGCACCCATCCCAACTCCCGCTCAACACAACATCCGAATACGGAATCGTCGCTAACGCTGTAATCCACCTCGGGCTCGGGGCCGGCACAACACTCGGATCGGGAATCGCTTCCGCACTGTACTCTTCGGACTTCATCTGTTCCGCAACACCGTGGGCTAGCGGCAGGGTAAACACAGGCTTCTTCTTATGGATAGCCCAGAGACTTAAACTCCCGTTGTCTGAGCCAGTGACAAACATCTCCTCGTCGATCATGGCGACTCTGTCAATCGAGCCCTCTTGAGTTTTGGTGTGTTTCGAAGAGGAGGGCTTGGATTTCTTTTCAGAGCTTCCACCACCCCGGAATACGAGTTGTGTTTCTTCGACGACTTTCCAGAGTCGGGCGGTGCGGTCCCGTGCCCCGACGCTGATGCAGCGTTCTTGTGCGAGAGCCGCGACGTCGACGACTTCGTCTTGGTGTCCGAAGAGTGTCTCGATATATGCTAACTCGTCCAAGCTCCAGATCTTGATCGTCCGGTCTTTGGATGACGAATAGAGTTGGTTTGTGCCTCTTCGGAATGCAAGTCCTGTAACGGCGTCTCGGTGTTGGGTGAAGACTCTCAGGCATTTGAGAGTTTCGGCATCCCAGACGATGATCCTTCTATCTTTGCCGCCTGTGACTACGAACTTCCCGTCTTGCGAAGCGGAAACACATAGAATAGTATCCACATGTCCCTGATACGAGTTCTCCTTACTCTTCTTCCTATCCCCCTTCACAAACGCAACTTGCTCTGGTTTCCTCTTCGGCGGTGGTTTAGGCTTCTTGGACTTCTTCTTCCCATTCTTCGGCAGCCATTGGTTTTCCGGTAGTTCCTGTAACCTCCATTTCACAAGCCCCAAATCCTTGGAAACAGTATATGCCCATGGCATATTAAGGGCAACGCCCGTAACAACATCGCTATTCCACCTCCATATACACTTCTTCGCTTCCCCGAACTCCAACTCCTCCGCTAACTGCCTATAAAGCTTCCCTTTCGACTCCGCAGCATCCTCTTTTAACCGTTCAGCAATCAAATCTCTATCAATCTCCTCCGCATCAAAACCATGCTCGTCGTCGACTTCCGTGCGTATATTCTCTAGATACCGTTCCGCGAGGCGCAAACGCCGCTCTGCTGCTGTTTCTCCTTCGCCCTCTGAGGATGCAGATTTAATCGATTCTGCGTCGTCATCTCGAGGTGCGTCGGGGAGTGAGTCCTCGTCTTCGGAGCCGGAGATGGAGTCGTCTCTTTCTTTTCGAGGTTTGCGTGCGGGTTTGGACTCCTTTGCGGGTTTGGGGGACGTGAGACGTTTTTTTGGAGCTTCGGATTGGGAGTCTAGCCGTTTCCGCTTCTTTTGGGAAGAGGGGACTGTGAAGAAGGAAGACATTGTGGTGGTGTGCGCCGGAGTGCAAGGCTGGTGGGAGCTGGGAGGGAATTGGAACTTTTCGAGAAAATGTTATTCTGCCTGGCGGGGAGAGCTGGTGGTGCTGCATGAGGGAAGGTGCGATCAGAAGAGCACGTGACCTTAAAATCGAGCATAAAAGTCGAGGATCGGAAACAAAACTTCTAATATTCTCCTTTCAAGTTCAAATGCATTTCAGACTATCTGTAGTTCTGCCGCTGCTGGTATTGCTTTGATTTCGTCCCAAATCTATGAACATAGCTGTTAATCTCACTGATATTTTCACACTTTCGCACTGAATTGCTGCCGTTTTGTGACAGGGATCATTGAGGCTAAAAGTTTCGCCAGGCGAGGCAGCGGGCTCCACGCGTAGCAGCGAGAGCTTCAAGAGAGAGGAACACCAACAACCACAGCTCTCCCTCAACCACAAAACACCGTCAAAATGTACGTATAACTGCAATTCGGCTCTGGCCCCTCTTGCTAATCATTCTGTGCCCACAGGGAGGTCTTATTGGGCATCACCGGCAAGGACTTCACCCTCATCGCCGCCTCCAAAGCCGCAATGCGAGGAGCAACCGTTCTCAAAGCCTCCGACGACAAGACGCGCGCCCTGAATAAACACACCCTGATGGCCTTCTCTGGAGAAGCTGGAGACACAAGTACATTCTTCCCCTCCCCTCATTCAAGGCCCTTTCGAGCAGCCGCTGACCCTTCCACCCAGTCCAATTCGCAGAATATATCCAAGCCAACGCCCAACTGTACTCCATGCGCAACAACATCGATCTCTCCCCGTCCGCTGTTGCCAACTTTGTCCGTGGCGAGCTGGCCTCTTCCCTCCGCTCCCGCAAGCCCTACAACGTGAACCTCCTCCTGGGCGGCGTGGACCCTATCACGGACAAGCCATCGTTGTACTGGCTCGACTACCTAGCATCGCTCGCCCCCCTTCCATACGCCGCCCACGGCTACGCACAATACTACTGCCTCTCCATCCTCGACAAGCACCACCACCCGGACATCGACTACGAGCAGGGAATTAAGATTTTGCGGATGTGCACGGATGAGTTGAAGAGGCGACTGCCGATTGATTTTAAGGGGATGCTGGTCAAGGTTATTACGAAGGATGGAATCAGGGAGGTGGAGTATGAGGATGGTAAGAGTGTTGCTTGCCCTTAGGTTGTTCTGGGCTGGGGTGGGACAATACAGGGTGGCGTGGGTGTACAATAGCATGGCATCAATGGCGAATTTGGCTTCGTTTCAGTCAAGGGTCAAGTTTTTCTGGGTGAGTAAGATATGTGATGGTTCTGTTCTTGGGCTCCAAGTGCTCAGAGTATGGCAGGACATTAATCTGTGATTGTACTGGCTGTCTTCTGGACTTTCCTCCTTTCCTGACATGGGTTTCTAGCAACCATCGGATCGGATCCTACTCCATTACCTTCCTCGATGTTCCCAGCTGCTTAGGACATTCATTCAAGAATATCCCAGCTTCCTTTTAATCAGACTCTCACTTTCCTTTGGTGATGCTACTGGCTCTTACCGTGCACCCTTCGCCCGAGAAGCAAGGCAGCAGATGTCGAGGATATGCAGGCCCAATCCCTGCAGAGCAGCGCAAAGACAGAGAACCTTATTCCGGCGGCCCAGACTGAATTTCAACCCTGCCTTGAGGGCAGCGAGGAAAGATAGATATCCAGCGCAACGCCACGAACAGATGTTTGTTGATATTCATTTCAAGTATCAGGCAAATCCGCTATCGTCGCTCGTTCCCCCTTCTCTCTAGGCCGCCTATAGCAGCCCATCCAATGAAAGCAGCCCCATCGCGCCGTCCCTCCGTCCTTTCAGCTGCTGGCTAGAGGGACCTTGACATTCTTCCCCTATCTTTGGGCTGATGAAGAGAATTTTGAGGCAACTTCAAAAGACAGCTGCACAGACGTCGAATAGAACCTTGTCCCCTTATTTGAACTTTAGCCTTCTAGACACAACTTGACGATGCACTCCAACTGGTCCCATCACGTGTAAATATATTCCAGCTGGTGCAGCGGTGAGCGAGATCGCTGACTAATGCCGCCCTCCCTGCAAATTTGATAAGGCTAGCGCCGACTCGGAAGCGAAAAACCAAAAACCCTTTTTCGCCTCTCCATCATCGAGCCAAGATTTTTCTTTCCTTCACAACCATCCGAACAAACAACCTCACCCCACGAATACAAGTCTCTCGTCCCTCCTTTCCTTTTGAAGATTGTTCGTCTTTCTGAGGATACACACGGGACCGTACATATCACGTCCTCGCGGCGCGTCTGATATACAAAGAGCCCGGAAGCAATTACGTCGTCGTTCTCTCGATAATCGTTTCGATCGCGTTTCGGTTCATAGATCTCTTCGCCCTTCTTTCCACGCTCTCTTTAGATCCCACGGTCTTTGCAGAGAGTTAGAAAGACTCTAGACCACACGTCTCACGCATAATCACGTCGATCACGAACGATCTCATTAGCCTGACCTCACGCCATCCGCTCACACTCGATCAACCACCCAACATGGCGGATCAACTAAACATGAACGGGCTCAGCCTCAACGGAGGACCCGGCGAGCAACGCTCCTACATCCCTCCACACATGCGAGCCAAGATGGGAGCCGGTCCAGCTCCTGGAGGGCCTCCCGCTGGCGGACCCCCAGCCATGAATGGCGGCATCAACGGTTCTGCTTGGGCGGCACCCACTGCGTAAGATTCACCCTTTCACCCGATCTCTCTTCTATTGATGGCATGCTAACGTACTTCTCCAAGCAGAAACGGCTTCGCAGCTGGTGACGCTCGCTCTGGTGGCGGAAACTGGGCCAGCGCTCCCGATTTCACCCCTCGTGGCAACGGTGCTGCACCCGCAGGACGCCCAAGCTGGGATACCGCCGGACAAAACCCTGCTTTCAACCGAAATGCATATGGCAACCCGGCAGCTGGCGGTGGTTCTGCTCCATCGTCTGCTCGCGGAGCTGGTGACGGACAGTGGCGAGACGGGAAGCACATTGCTGGACCACCAAACCCACGTCTGGAGCGAGAGCTTTTCGGCGTAGCTGACGACCCAACCAAGCAACAAACCGGCATCAACTTCGAGAAGTACGATGATATTCCCGTCGAAGCCTCGGGCCACGATGTCCCCGAACCCGTCCTCAAGTTCACCAACCCTCCTCTCGATGACCATCTCCTCAAGAACATCGATCTCGCACACTACAAGGTCCCAACCCCTGTTCAAAAGTATTCGATCCCCATTGTCATGGGTGGTCGTGACTTGATGGCTTGTGCGCAGACTGGTTCCGGAAAGACTGGTGGTTTCTTGTTCCCCATCTTGTCTCAGGCCTTCATCAACGGTCCCTCTGCCGCTCCAGGTAGCTCGGGTGCAAACTTCGGCCGCCAACGCAAGGCATACCCCACCTCCTTGATCCTTGCCCCCACCCGTGAACTTGTCTCTCAAATCTACGATGAGTCCCGCAAGTTCGCATATCGATCATGGGTTCGTCCCTGCGTCGTCTATGGCGGTGCCGACATCGGTTCTCAGCTTCGTCAAATTGAGCGTATGTAGTCCCTTTCGTTCCTTCCCCGCCAACTAACCCAACACAACACACCTTCCTTCCGTGAAGTAGCAAGTGCTACAAAAGTTCCTTCCATCATGGACCGTGATTCATCTTCACCACATCTCTCCCTGCACCGGAGAACACTGGAGAACACTGGAAATCAATTCGATCCTGTCCGCAAGGGATTCTCTGATCTCGACCACAACCTCCTGCGTCAAGCTTCTGCTGTGCAACTTCAATTGCTCTGGATCTGCTATCTCTTGGTGCTTGAGCATGAAGATCCAGCTCGTCACCCTCGCATCTACATTGGCAGTGGTACTGCGGGCACATAAGGCATTCGGAAAAGAATGTCCCCGTACAACAAAAGAATACAAACTGGGGTTGCCAATTCTGCCATTCCTCACTATGTCGAGACGTCCCTGCAAGAAGGCTATAACATCACTCATAAATGCCTACTGTGCTGGGCCGCTTTACCAATGGCTTCGGATGTATTTCAGCTTCGCTGCCTCTTTCTCATACTGGAGTTTGTCTTCGCTCTCTGTTTTTGGGCTATGAGGAGTCGTACAAAGGACTATTTTATGCCTGCGCTCTGTCCCTGGCCTCGCGAGAGCTTTACCTATGATGGCTGCTGCAGTCATTTATCGATAAACGAACAAATCGGAGCTCACCACGAGGACGCTACACCCGAGGAGATCAACCGTCTTGCTGCCGAGAGAAAGGCTGCCTCCGTTGCCAGACGCGAAGCCAACAGAGTACCAGGCGCCAAAGCCCTCACAACGAAGGCCTGCGCAGAGAAGCACTTAGAAGAGCAGAACTTCAAGTGCGATGTCTGCATTCAAACCTTTGACTGTGACGCGAAGCTATCATCTCACCTGCTGACACCTCTACACCTCAAAAAGGTCCAAGAGAAGGCCACCGGCGTCCGAAAAGTCCTCAAAGGCTCAGGTGGTTCTCAAAGAGCTGTGGCGAATAAGACGCATTGGTGCGAACCCTGCCAACATGCTGCTTGTTCTGCCAAGAGGCTTGAAACCAATCTCAACGGAAAAGCACACGCCAAGAAGCTCAGGGTATTGGCGGCGGCTGCAGCGGCGGCGACGGCGAGCTCTTGAGCTCGTCTAAGTCGTCAACACTGGAACTTTTTGGACGCCGTCCGAACATCGATATCACGGCTCATGATGCAGCTTCATCCTCAGCTCGAACTATCTCATTACTACCGGACTCTTTCTTTCTGTCACAGCACCATCATCACGTTTCAAACAGCTTCAATTCATTGACTAATCATTCCTTATAGGAGGTTGCGATCTTCTCGTTGCTACCCCCGGTCGTCTCGTCGATCTTATTGAGCGTGGCCGCATCTCCCTTTGCAACATCAAGTACTTGGTTCTCGACGAGGCTGATCGTATGTTGGACATGGGTTTCGAGCCTCAAATTCGCCGTATTGTTGAGGGTGAGGATATGCCAGGCGTCCAAGAACGTCAAACTCTCATGTTCTCTGCCACCTTTCCCCGCGACATCCAGATGCTCGCCAGAGATTTCTTGAAGGACTATGTCTTCTTATCAGTCGGCCGTGTTGGTTCCACCTCCGAGAATATCACCCAGAAGGTCGAATACGTTGAGGATATGGATAAGCGCTCGGTCCTGCTTGACATTCTCCACACTCACGGTGCTGGTCTTACCTTGATCTTCGTCGAGACTAAGCGTATGGCCGACTCACTTTCCGACTTCTTGATCAACCAAAACTTCCCTGCCACCTCCATTCACGGTGATCGTACTCAACGTGAGCGTGAGCGCGCCTTGGAGATGTTCCGCAATGGTCGTTGCCCAATCCTCGTTGCCACTGCTGTCGCAGCTCGTATGTATTTCTGTTTCTACCTCTCACCTTAGAACCATCAGCTAACCTTGTACTTAGGCGTATGTATTCCTGTTTCCACGTCTCAAACATCCCAGAACCCTCAGTTAACCTTGTACTAATCTTATATAGGGCTTGGATATCCCGAATGTCACCCACGTCGTCAACTACGATCTCCCCACTGACATTGATGACTATGTTCACCGAATTGGTCGTACTGGTCGTGCGGGAAACACGGGTATCTCTACTGCTTTCTTCAACCGTGGCAACAGAGGTGTTGTCCGTGATCTCATCGATCTTTTGAAGGAGGCCAACCAGGATGTACCGGCCTTCCTCGAGAACATTGCCCGTGAAGGTTCCGGATTTGGAGGTGGTGGCGGCGGACGCGGCGGTGGACGATCCGGAGGAGGTCGGGGCCGCGGCGGAGCTGCCAATCGCGATTTCAGAAAGTTCGGCGGAGGTGCTGGAGGTGGTTTTGGTGGAGGATATGGCGGAGCTCCTGCCCCTGCATACGGCGGTGGATTCGGCGGACCTCCCCCAGCTGCTGCTTATGGCGGCGGAGCTCCGGCTTATGGCGGGGGTGGTGGCTATGGCGGCGGAAGCTATGGCAACCCGTCCGGCGGTGGAGGACAATCTTGGTGGTAGATTTGCCACTCGTCGACGCATCTTTGTTCCTTTTCCGGTACATTTTCGACTCCGGCACCATGCATAGATCGGGGACAAAGGCGTCAACGGATATCCTCAGACCTTTTCTGCGGATACAGAACTCATTTTTTTTTTTTCGGTTCTTGCGGTTCTCCTAATTTGCTCGCCAACTTGCACTGCTTTCTTCCGGTTTCCTCGTTTTTGCGACACGTTTTCGATTTTCTGGTGGCGGCACATGACATGATTTCAGCTGGCTCTCGACCTTCTGCTGCATTACAGGGGGCCGGCTTAGATCGTGTTTCTTCGGCCATCGAAACGGCATACGAATAGATAGCGTTGTCTTTTGTTCCTGGCTGTCCCCTTCTCACCCCGATCTCGATACCCCAATAGATGATCAAGGGCGATCAGGCAGACACACGAGATTTACGGCGTACCGGTCATGATGCTTTCTCTCTTTTAACCTGGGATTTTTTTCTGCGGAGTGGTAGATGGGAAAAGAACCTGGGTTTACGGAACGCATTATGACGGTCATGTTCTTGAGAAATTCCCATTCGAGGGTCGGTCAGCGTTGATCTTCCCGTCGTCACATTAGAAGATCGTTGCATGCACACATTTGATTTTCTCGCACTCCTGTTTTCTTTTCACTCAAATCAATCAATTTGCGGATCGTGCTTAGACAAAAGTGGATGGATGGATCTTTCCGGAGTTTCTCTCGACTGATAGCATTGGGGAGAGAGATCTGGGAGGAGTGGCTTTTGAGTTTTCATCGTTTGTTGTCTCTAAGGGATGGAGCGGAGGGAGAGCTGATGGCATACGGAAGTGCTCCTGTCCATTCAAGCTGAGGCACCAGAATCGAATCGAAGCGAAATCGAGGGTTATGAGCTTATTCGATGGCGCATGCGCTTCGTGATGGAAAATTGGGATGATTCGATTCGACACGATAATCCAATACGAAAAGTCTGTTCACAAATCTGTTGAGTCTTTGTGCCTGTGATATGTTCATGATATGCCAATGTGATATGAGCTTTCTCCAACCCTTCCGACCCTATCTTCTGTGCTTGCAAGTGCGGATCATCTAGCTCCCCTTTGATTGTGCGCCCCCAAAGTTGTTCAATAGAGTCTTATAATTATGAAATTTTAATAAAACAAGTAATAGAGCATAGCATAAGGCAACTGTGTTTCGAGAGTGCCTAGAGGGCTGAAGAAATAGTTGCGTGCGTTTCCTTGACTGGTAATCTCGATAAACCTAATACCAAATCGATCTGCTATAGCACTCTTGAAATGGCAGAACGGCACGCTCAGAAATCAATTTTAAATCTAGACTTCAATTTCTGGCGACCGGTAAGATGAATATTATTCCCTCTAGAAGCAAACTGCCGCCTCAAATGTGGTGGCACAGGGTGTAGTCGCTGGATCGACACAATGCGATTCGTTTGGCCGAGCATACTGTGCATAGTTAATAGAATTAATTCATATTCTAGAGCGAGGATCTTGAGCTGATTTCCGCCGCCTTCAGCTTTGTCAACAAGTTTCTGGAAGAGCTCAAGGAAGTGCTCGGTCCAGTCAAATATGTCTCGACTGGCCTGGAAAATGTCCTCTGCCTCCACGATAAGGAAACATTTGGACAGTCTTGAAAAGAGTTGAAGGAGGAGAGAGATCTATTCCGCTTCCGTGTAATTTAATTGAAACTTCGTAACGTTCAATTCGTTATGTAAGCCGCTAGGAAAGGAAGGTACTTAGCTAGCTACCTCCCATAGAGAATACATTATCTTCCTGCCCTTACTCTGGCTTCCGCTAGCGTTGGTGCACACCGGGATATCTATCCCGTAACACAATTCCTCAAGGTGGCTGTATAACAAAGTCGGATCATGTTGCAAAGCTTGGAAGATGAGGCTTTTGATCATGTCTGCTATAGAGGTAACTCTGCCATGAGACATGATCCAAGATAAATTCCAAATGACGCTGCATGACACTCGCTGTAACAGCTTCACTACATCGACTGCAAACTCCTTTGCTTTTGCTTCCGCGGGGACGCCGGAAGGGGGTCCCGCATCCCTGCGGCGGTGCGGGGCTAAATTTAACCTCAGCTCCGGGCCCCAGAGCTCGAACGCGGCTCAATTATAATCCGGATCAGTAAACTTCTCCTTAGAACATTATCCCTTCGTCCGGTGAGACATGGTCTGTACTAGCAAGGGGGCCTTCATGCGCAACCCGAAGAAGTATCCAGACCCAGACAACTATCGGCCGGAACGCTACCTCGAACCAAGCTAGCCAACTTACCGGGAGCCTCCGACAGTGTATCCGACTGTCAAAGGACTGTCCTCTTTGGGGTATGTCCAACGGCAGTGTCTAGGCCAAACTCTAACTCAAGATGAACTTCTTCTTGCATGCGGAGCGCTCTGCTAGGGGTTTCACATGAGGAAGAAGGTTGACCTGACCACTGGCCTTAAGATCGACATCGACTTGAATGCCTCGAACTCACTCCTGATCGTCAAACCTGATCCTTTCAAGATGGAGTTCAGGCCCCGGTCGCTGGAGAAGAAAGAAATCATGGAGAAGCAGTAGATGGGTGGTCGAAAAGGCCGACAAAGAGGAGAGGACTGCCTTTCTTAGACACGCAGAACAGACGCGATCAAGATAGACTTGAGTCTTACTTTACAATTTGGGATTAAATTTGTGACTTTTGTTTAGAGACAGATTTGCGAATTCCTTCTGTAATCCTCCAACTTTGGAGATCATGATTGTTTGTAGTGTGGTAAGGATAAGTCGAGGATCTATAAAAGTGTTGACGTTGACATTAATCATAACATTGCTCGCTTACTAAACGGCCCTTACAAGAAAAGGGGGAGGGGGTTGCTTTACCGAGGCTAAGTCACATGATCCGACTTGCCTGTGTCAATGTAAGCCTAACTCAATGAGCTAGTCCCCAAGATCTAAGAATAAGAATCGTCCGGGTTCTCCTGTCGGACGTCCGCAATGATCGATCGGTGTTCCAGGAGCATTCAATCAGACTGCCTTGTGATTGGGTATAGAACGAGGCCCAAAGTCAGGATATCCGTACGCCGTGTAGGTACACATTTGGCTTGTTCTTGAAGGAAATATCAAAATCCGTTCTTCTTGCACCTTGCCTGATAGCAATTGCGGTCATCTCGCTATCTTTCTCAACTTACTTGATCTTGATCATTGTCTCATCTCAAAATGGCTCCAACGTGGCAAAGCATCGTGTTGGGGAGTAGCATCTCCTTTTCATTTACGCTTGTAGGTAAGTTCGACAGTTTCCTTGCAAGAAACTATGTCTTGAAACAATTTTCTTATAATTTCCTGGGTAACGCAGTCACTCAATCATTCATGACTGTTCCAGCGCTCCTTGTGGACTTTCCGAATCATTCCTCTCCAAACTATGCAGAGCGCGCAACCCTGCTTGGACGCCAATGGCCACACTGTTGGGCGGTCGGGAATATGTTTTTCAGACCTATCAGTACGCTTGGAGCTCTAGGATATGCATATTCAAGCTATTGTGCGTCTCACTCAGCGACCACAAGTATGGACTGGAGAGTGCTGGTTGTTGCGGCTCTCATGCATGTTGCTCATGCAGCCATTGAACGATAGACTGGCTGCTTTGGATCCCGGTGCGAAGGAAGCCAAGGGCGCATATGGTACACATCAAGCGGGAGCAGAGGCGCTGTTGAGGAAATGGAGGAAGTGGAATATTTTGAGAGTCATTACTCCTACTATTGCCGGGTGTGTTGCTATGTGGCAACTTTGCTTGTGAAAAGCGAGGGAAAAAGGAGGCTGCCCAATCACGTGCTAGTAATCATAAGGTATGTCACGTACCTACACTAGCAGTTATTCTCGCAAATATTGAAACGCTTTCATATGCTACAAATAGCGCATCAAACTCATTGCTCTTATGTGCACGGCGTGGTTCCTTCAAGTGATCTTCCATGTGAGCACCCCGAAATTAGCAAGGACGAAATCATCAATCGACTCTAGTCTAGAATTTTGGGGTGACTAATCATCTTTCGACTATCTAGTGTATCGAATTTACTAATTTGGATCTATGATGTGATAGAAATTCATGGGTCCTCACAGGATGATTTCGAATTTAGTTGTCTGATAATACGGACACGACACGACATCTAGACATCTAAACATCTGCTTCATTAAATGGAGGGGAGCAGCGACTCCGTTGGCGTTCAAACTGCTCGTGCAGGTCTTGCAAGTTACATCGCACTGCAGGTCGAAGCTCTCTTGCAACTACTTGACCATAACTTCAACCACAAAGTCCTGCCATCATCTTTAGAGATGCCTTCGCGCGATATGGAAGCTTCAAAACCCACGCAGAACGAGTCACATCGGTATTCGAAAGCTTTGCTATGGTTCCTCAATCGATATTTGAAGATCCTGTCCAAAACAAGGTCATTGTTCACGCCAAGATGTTAGGAGAACTGACTGATCTGGGACTTCGGGAAAATTAGTGCATCATTTTTATTAAGATGTCGGATGATGGAGGAAGGTTGTTGAGCATACGGAATTTGCGGACAGCCTGAGAGCGAGGTTGCTGGAAGCAAAGCTAATGGGGCGGATGAAGACAAATGTGATGATGGATGACGTAGATGTCAAGATCGCGGGGGCATGGAATGGTGAGAATGATAGGCCTGAAAACTAAAGACGTGAATGCTTAGATTTTGCAAAGAAGGTCTGTCCTAAAGTGTAACTTTACGCGAAGGAATGTTCTCCCGATTTACGAATAAACCAAGGTACATCGGATCATTCATAGTTCAAGAAGATGAGTCGAAGAACCCCTTTTTGTGGGCGGCTTGGGAGCCGAGAGGCGAACGCTGTGGAGTTAATGAAGTGGATCAAGATTGGCGTTGGATGGCCTCGTGCCATAGAATGAATAGTCTAAATTACAGGATTACAAGGAAATAGTTTATCTTAATAAATGCCGCTCTTCATAAACAAGTTAATGACTATTGTCAGTTTCCACCCCTGCGAAAACAGTCTGTCCATCAAGCACATACGGCGAAATATCCACCATCCTCATCCTATTTTGGGATATCGTCGCCCCAATACTCAAAGAATCCAAACCGTAATACCAAGCCCAACTACTTCCCGTCTCGACCACGAATATAGCATCCCAGCGGGAATTGTCTGATGGGTCCGGTGCCAAAGAGAGAAGGCGTAGTCCACTTGCGATCTTACTGTTGATAGTGTCGACAGTGATACCCGTGTGCCATTCACTCTGAATCAAATCTTCGTCTACATTCTCGGCCATCAAGATAACGTACACGACATCCCCGTTATATTTGTACCCGCGCAAAGAGAGAAGCCGCGCATTATACTTTGCTTGGAGGGTCGTTATGGAGCTGGTGCTCTGCCCATAGTACCACCACCACGATCTGTCCTGTGTGCCGTTGTTTGGCACTTGGACGACTGCAAACTGGAGCGTTCCCAAGGCGTCATAGTAGGGGTCAATGCTGATGAGTCGTCTGTCTGTGCCTTGATTGTAAGAATTTGGCCCGTACCACCACCACCAGTCGCTGTAATATACGCCCGTATTCTCGACCATTAGCACCGTGAAAGTGGGCACCGTTGCATTGTCGACGCGAACTTGAGTTATGCGCGCATTATTTAGGGTGCAGAGCTCGTTTACTTGGCCTTCAGTCTGGCCCGTGTAGAACCACGATGCTACGTGCGTGGTGGTTAGTTGGTCATTGAGAAGTGTGTCTTGGCCGGTGGAAGTTGTAATGTTTGTGCTACTTGGAATGGGCGGGTTGACGACAGACCCGGTTGACTCGGGAGCCGAGGTGGAGGTTGAGCCAAGTGTCGGGCTGATTTGTGTTGATGCAAGTAACGATGAGATTGGAGTTATTGTATTTGGTGAGGAGAAACCTTTTGAAGTCAGCATCAGAATATTGAGATTTATAACATTCTATACCTGTATGCTTTCGACCTAGAGATACCCCTAGTCCTACCCCCAACCCTATAATAACAACCACTAGCAGAACAACAATTCCAATAAGAAGCATCTTCTTGCTGACAAGACCATTCTTCCTCTTTGCTGGATCTTCCGTCACTGTCGCTTCTGTTGTCTTGTCATCTTGTTTTTCCGGTAGAGCATCGTCTGTGTTTACTGGACAGTCCTCCCTTGTCATGGGTATAAACGGCTCAGGCGCATGCTCCGGCCTATTTGAAGGAAGTGCGAGCTCAGGAGCATCGTGAATAGCTGAAACAGCCCGCGCTGAAGCACCAGGCGTTATCGCGATCGGATACTGATCACTGGGTGTGAGTTCCAATCCACCATGTTGCGCCGACGAATACTCGACGACCATTGCGACTCATTAAATTGAATGTAAAGCACCCAGAAATATGTGCGCAAGATGCTGTCTCGCTTTTATACTTTGCCCCGTTCCTGGTCTCACTGTTTGGTAGACGTGATGCGTGGTCGGTTTGCAACTGAAGGCGGAAAATCCCCCAGCCCCATTTGAGACATTCATGTACGCTAGGACAATTGTGGCCAGTTGGGCGCTCGCGATGATCTAACGAGAATATTGATTTTTCTTTCTTTTCTAGGAAGCCGCTCAGAATTGATTTTATAAGGGGAACTGTGACGTCCTTCAGTCGATGGAAGAAGAAGAGCCGAGACAAACCTGCTCTTCTCTTACCTGCCGAGGCGAAATCAAACTGCTGTCGCGTTGTTGGAGGTCGCCACTATCCTGTGGATTGCGGTTAGAGATCAAGAGCGCTAGATATTAGAAGGAAAACGTGGAAGAGAAAGAAAAGGAGAAAGTGGGACACGGACATGAACATGGGAAGTTTGCCAGCGTTCGCAACTTTCGCATACCCACAGCTCTCACATCTCGTAATTCTACTGATGCGTACAGTGGGATTCATCTGACCCATGTTTGTTTAAGTCCGCTCTGATTGGTTTCTATATACCGACACCTGTTCATGAGGAGATCACCCAAGTAGATCGTGACACCTCTCCGCTAAGTCTCTCATCGTATACTTCAATGCTCACACTAGCAGCTCAGGCTACAGGAATTTTCTCGTGTCCAAGAAGCTGAGGCTTACTAACCTCAAAGTCCACCGGTGGCCTTCTCTTCTGCAAGAGGTAGCTCTGTTTCTTTTTTCAGCCTGTCTTATATGGCCTGTAAGGAGACTCACAATCTGCTCCATCGTCGGTGCCAAATAAGCATTTACTAATCAGGTATACACATAATATATACCCTTACTCTAATAGAAAAGAAGATGTCTGCCTTATAGAAACGGTGAAGATCATCTGCTTTACTAATAACCTTCGTCGAAACTTCTCTTGACCTATTCTTCTGCTCTCTGTATCTTGTTGTCATAACTTGCGCGTTAGCATATTCCCCTTGCATGGCTAAAACGCGGGCTTCTACAAATCGCCCTTTTGCGATGTGCGCCAAATATTCCATCGCTTCTCGATATTGGACGCGATAAATAATTATCCTGTCAGCCTTGGGCCTGAATCAAGTCGTGATTGACGCGAGGAGTTCGATTGGGAATTGGGGGACGAACATTGAAAAGAAAAACAGTGTGCCCCTGTGACGGCTGGTGTCACATGGGTGCTACGGGTTGGTTTCAGCTAAGGTTCCAAGCTATGGTTCAAACCAAGCTTGCTTCAAACCAAGCTCGCTTTAAACCAAGCTCGGCGTTTCAGTGGTCTTGGCCATACCTACTTATCCACTGCCACACCTCACTCCTTCTCTCCTTAGCTTTAGATTCTGTAGGATATTGGAATTATAGATCTTTGAGCATTATTCCATTGCTTTGTTCCTGCCATTACAGCCTTTGCAAATCTCTGCAATACCCCTATTCTACAGGCATAGCATTCCTAAATATGGATATATGCCCAAAGCGGTAATAATAGGAGGCTAACTCTAATTAGAATGCATAAGTACCCTCTCTGGGCAAATTCTAGAACAGATACTTATATATTTGAGAATTTAATTTCTTTTTAGTCTTCTTTTTCTATACAAGCTAATTTTTATAATTTTATTATAAAATAAGCCTTTCTTTTTTGGCTATTTTTTTGCCCCAAATATATTTCTCTTTTACTTCTTATAATTACTTAAAAAAGTATATCTTTAATATATATATATATATATTTATTTTTAAATATATATTATATAATATTATATATTAAAAGCATATAATAATATATCTTTAGCTTATTAAAATCCCTAGTATTAATAAGAAATAAGCTTTAGAACTTCTAAAACTAATATAATAATTAATATATATAAAGATTATAAAATAAAAAAATTATATTAATAATAAAAGATTTAATTAAAAATAAATTCAAATAAATTATAAAGCTTAAAATTATAATAGTACTAGCTAGAAATAACTATTATATAACTAGTTTCATTTATATAGCTAATACTTCTCTTCTTTTATTTCCTTTTTTTCTTTCTTTTTTTCTTTTTTCTCTTTAGCTTAGTATTTTTAATATATGAAATTCTTAAATCTTTAAGCCCTTACTATTACCTTAATTCTACTATTATAAAAATTACGAAAATTATTTAATATATAAGTTTAAAAAGTTATATTAATTTTCGAATTAAATAAACTTAATATATATTATATTTTTTAAATTATTACTTTTCTAGAAAATATTTATATAAAACTTATTTTTAATTATATTATAATAAGAAATAAACTAATATTTAATATAATTATATATTTTTATATAATTTCTTAGTTTTTATTTATTTAAAATTTAGCTTTCTTTTTTTTATAAAATAAATATTAAGTAATATAATATTCTTTTAATTTATAAGTATATCTAATTTAATTCTTATTATATATTATATTATATTATATTTTTAATATTAATCTTTTTTAATACTTTTCTAAAGCTTTTTTCTAAACTTCTAATTATTATAAATATAGCTTATATTATTATTAAATTAATTCCGGCTTATAAATTAATAATATATTTTTATTTAAGATATAGCTTTTAATTATATATATAAAGCCTAAAATTAAAGGCCTAACTAAATATTATATTTCTTGTTTTATTTATATTAATTTAAAAAAATCTTTTATATAAGCCATAATAATTATAAAATATATAATTATATATTAAAGAATATTCTTTATAAATTTCCAAAGATTTATTTAAGTTTTTTAAATCTAATTATTAGTATAGCTATTTCTTTAGGAGTTATATATATAGTTACGGGATATAAGATACGAGATATAAGTAATAGGATATAAGTAATAAGATATAAATAATAGAATATGAAATACGGGATATAATTATATAACCTCATATCTTATTAGTAACTTAACTAATAAACTAGATCCCTTTAGGCTTAGTAGATTTAGGAATTATATATTAATACTATAATATTATAATCTCTATTTCTAAATAATAATAACTTTACTAACTAATATAACTAGTATTTCTATACTTGTATAATAGTATTATATATTACTAGTAAACTAATACTAATTAGTTTATATATATAGATTAGAGAAGATTTTAGATTAGTCCTAAAAGTATTTAGTAACCTAAAACAAATCTAGTCTATTTTATATTAAAGAGAGAAATTACTTATTAACTTTATAAAAGTATTTAGTAACTTATAAAAAATATATCTAGCTCTTACTAATTAATAAGTAGTTAGCTATTTAATTATTTATCTATTTAACTTCTATTATTTTTTAAAACTAATTTCTTTTAGTCCCAAGACTACTTTCTTAGAAACTATCTTTTCTACTTATATAATACTTGTATTTATAAAACTCTCTTTCCAGAATATATATCCTATATATATCCTTAAAACTCTTTAATTACTACTTTAATTTTATTATTAAATTAAGTCCTTCGAGTTTTAGACCTTTCCGGAATTATAATATTTTACTTCCTAAATTTCTTATTATAGACAAAATATTTAAGGGCAAAATATTTACTTTAATACCTATAATACCCCTAGATATCTGAAATATCTGGTATCTAAACCAGGTATCTAGTATTTTAATAACCAGGTATCTAATATCTCAATTAGATATCTGAGCTAGGTATCTGGTATCTAAATCAGGTATCTAAACCAGGTATCTGGATATCTTTACTACTAAACTCTTTCTATAAACCTATTATAAACTACCTTATCTTTAAACCCCTCCTGCTATAAACTATATATATATACTAGGAAGAACCTGAATTTGGTTTAATATAAATACTAATAAAAGAAAGAAACTAATTAAAAAATAAGAAAATAGTATTAATCCGGTAACTATAATAAAGGCTAAACTTTAGGAATATATAATTATTAAGATATATTAGTATATCTTATATAAGAAAAGTAATAATAATCTATAGAATCTATTCTAGGATAATTTTAAAAACTTTAATACTATAATATATAATCTAATTAACTATATACTTATATAAAATCTTTGAGCCTAACTTTAGTATAATAGTATTTATATTAAATAGAATTACAGAAATCTTACTATTATATAATTCTTTATTAACTTTACCTAAAAAAATAAAAAAACTATATAAAATAAAGCTAATATTATTAATAATAATCTAATTAGAATAAATTTTTTTTAGGGACCTATTATATTAGTTTATCTTATTCTAGATAGAACTAAATAATCTTAGTTAAGAAATTAAGCTATCTATTTACTTCTTCTAAATTAAGGCTATTTACTATTTTTACCTTTATTACTACTAGTATTACTACTAAACCCGAACTATTATTAATTAGTATCTACTATTTCTACTAGAAAGCTTATTAGGGAAATAATAAAGATATATTTTAAAGTATAGAAATATAATAGAACTAATAATAGTTTTAATTATAAACTTATTATTTTCCTTAATATTTACTAATATATAAAGCTTCCAGAAAAAGTACTAGTAAGAGCTTTTTCTACTATATTAAAGGAACTAGTATAAGACTACTTCTATAATAACTAGCTCTAGAGCCATATATATAAAAAGGCTTATATAAATATCTATAGCTTCTTTAAAGGCCCCGGTTTCTATTATTAAAATTTAAATAAATAAAATATTATTACCTTAATAATTATAATAATAAAGAACCTTAAAAAAAACAATATTTAAACTTGTTTAAATACTAATTAATAATCTATATAAATTATAGTATAGCCTTATTCTTACTTTATAAAGTATTAAATTCCTATATAATAAGATTATTATTTCCTATTAAGGCTTACTAGTATACTAATATATAATCTCGAACTCTTCTAATAATCTCGGCTAGCTTATTAATAAGCTCTAATTATCTATTACTATTTATAAAAAAAAGTAATAAATTACTACTAAAAC